TTACTTGTGATAATACGGGACGACAGAATAAAAATAAGGCATCACTATTTGATTTTACTTGTATTTGGTAATTTGCGGTCATTACAAAGATACAGAATTAAATTTTATGGTACCGGGGACATACTAAATTCAAATGATAGTAGCTTCGGACTTATTAAAAAGCTCTATATAAAGACAACAGTAGATTGCGTTGGTCATATTGTTGAGGTTGTAAAAAAATCAAGTACAGCCGAATTAAAGCCCAGCGTTATGACAACGGAAAAGGTTTTCAATAATTAGATTTTAATTTTGTATTGGAAATTTTTTTGAGTGGGTTACAAAAATATCAGCATTTTGTATTCGAAGTAGCCAAACCTGGAATTGCCAAAACCCAGCTGGTTGCTAATGGTTTGTACACTGAATTTAATTTATTGAAACCAGAAAAGCAAGTGTTTCTGAAATTATCGAAGAAATCAATCTTTTTCCGTCCTAATTTTAACTTCGCCTCCTTTGGATTACAAAAGACAAGAATATCCTTTATCATAATATTCGCCCATTGTTAGAGATAACCCAAACCAATCTATACTGATAACGAATAAAAATATTTCATTCAACTGCAATGTTTGTTTCTATTAAATTTTTTATATTTAATATTAAAATTAATATAATATTAATATAGGAATTGAAATTATGGCATTCAATAAAAATGATAGAAATACAATAGACGACGCTAAAGAATACTCAAATTATCACGGGAGAGCTCTTCAACCAGAAGAAAAGTCTATCTTTGATAGCACCCCTTTAAAGACTAATGGCACTTTGGATAAAGCGTTATTACAGGATACATCACAGTAAATACTTGAAGAGAAGCCAGAGAAAACATAAAAACTGAAAAAATAAATTAAGCCATAATTTATTGGCTTCCATCTTAACCGAGCAAAAAGGCTGAATCTATTCCTTATCAAGCAGTTAATTAAATTGGTAATAGCCAGCAGTCAATTGATAAAGTTATTACCCAATTTGAGGATATCTTATTCAGTGAATCTGATCCTGAATTTGATCAGATAAACAATTGCCTCAGTAAGAGCAATAAACTATGATAAATATGTCCACAATTACCTGACATAGTTATCAACAAGCCTTTTAATACTACTTTTCTCCCCAATTTTTGTGAGATGCAAGATTAATAATAATAATTATAATAATATAATAATAATAATAGTTTGTCTTATTTTGTACACAATGCGCTTTTTTATTTGCAAACCGCCGTTTAAACACGTGATATACTATTGATCTTTATAGTCATTGGTGCTACGTAACCTTAGAATTTATGCATTTAACAATAATGAATAAAAAATTTTTTATGTCAATAAAGCACTTTCTACTATTACTATGTTACTCAATTAAACCGTTTAAAACGCGCAGTTATTGAGTAATTTGCAGTAAAAGTATACAACAATTAATAAAAATGAGATCAAATGTAAATTATTCAGCGAGTAATAACGAAAATATTCTGAAATTTGGCCCAAATAGACTATTATTAATTGTAATTAAACTATTAAGTATTTATTTTCCATTAATATAAAAATAAAAATTTTACTAAAAACATAAATTCACGTTCTTGACGTGACAATATATGTGGCTAATTCATCTATTGAAGCATTCCCACCAGAATGTGCGAATTAGTTACTTAGTATTAGGATTTCAGCACAAATTGCGTCGAATCATAATTGACAAATTTTCGCGTTCATTCACTGCTCTCGGAATTACGTTCTTTCAGACTCTACTTCATAACCAGAAACAATTCGCAAGAAGCCCAAAATCAAATTAATACAGAGATGACCTCCACACTCAAAAAAGTAACTCTGATCTATCTGAGACTGTGAAGCATCTTGGGTATGATATTCGTGAAGTTCGAGATGAGGTCGCAAGAAGTAGCAATGCGGGATCTGGCGCGTCTCAAACTTATACTAGCAACATTCCGAATAGTGGATAAATTATTCAAAGAGAAAAAACGTGTCGAAAAGCGGCCCATGACAAGGCTGTATCTGAGGAAATTCGTGAGATCGTAATTAAGCATAAGAAAGGCGTAGCAATCAGTAACGCCACAATTAGAGCGCACGACTAAAAACTCGAAAGATTCACTTGATTCATTAAAATAGATTTATTGCAATTGCAGAATATAGAACGTGCACTTATCTCGTAAGTCCCATCATGGGCTGAGCATTTTAGAGAAAACTTGCATTTGGAGAGGTTGCATTTAGGGGAGTTCACTGTAACGGGAACAGTATTCTCCACACACACGTTAAATACAACATTAATTAATCGATGATAAATATTGCTTACTTGCCAAGTTTACTTAGAGTCCCTTGTATATATATTTCGACAACACAGTACTCGTATTCTCATAGAAAAAGTGATTTGTTCTCGACAAAAGCATAGCAGACAATTTTCAATGTTAAGAGTAGACATATTCAAAATGAAGATTGCTCTACATAACGAGTTGTTGCGTCGTCTAAAGTAGATATGCTTAATGACAGCTGTAACCTTTTTTACGCGGATTTGCTTGAAAACATAACTGGAAATTTGTTCGAAATTTAATGCATGACATTATGTTGGGTCTTCTACTAGCTGATGCAGATGTACCAGCTTTACTAGCGGAAAAGTCAAAGCGTCGCGGTTTCCTATTGAACGTCACTTTTGATACTTTCTAGTGTACAGTAGATATTGCTTTGATATCCTCTACATCAGTCGTTATGCTGGCTATAACAATTAGATAATCAATCAAGAAAGCTAAAGTTTATGTTAACCTTCTGATCACTTTTGCTAATTTATTTGGCAAAACCTATGGTTGGGATAATACTAAAGTTTTATGTTGTCTCGAACATTCTCTGCGTACATCAATTGCTAATCACTTTTCAGTTTTCAGTAATCCCACACGTTATTGCCATTTACCTTCGGCACGGTATCCGCAATGACTTCCAACAACCAGAAGACATTAGGTACTATTTGATGTTGCATATTAACATCCCCGACTTTATTATCACGATTTATCATGGCCATTATATCTCCCAACACAATAAAAGTGATTTGCCCAGTCTGTAACAAACCCATACAAGAGACTTGGATAAACCAACATCTTGACAGCAACTGCGAGACACTTGCCCCAAATGCCTCGTTCAAAAAAGAGGCGTCTGGCAAGAGCAAAAATGAGGACGCCGGTGTAAGTAACAACAGATTCCCGTTATACTAGTTTTGCTCCTACAGCGTGTTAGTCGGTGGACACATACTCTTCTTCGCACGTTTATTTACTTAATGGACTCTGTCTTTCTCAACCCTTTAATATTATACCTACGCGTCAATTAGTTTAATTTCTTTACGCTCAAAACGCTTAAACGCAAAAACGCGTCAGAGTCACTTGGCGAAGGAAATATAATCGAAATTAATGAAAAATCAAACAAGAAAAACAGCGAGTCAAAAAATGTACTCGTAACGAAATCACCAAAACGGTTGAAGCAGGACAAGTTGGGAGCCTTGACGCCTCTTGCCGCGAGAGGTATGTAATAATTGCAGACAAAAGATTCACTTGATGAGGACAATAATAGTAAATTGAGTGCTTCCAAGTTCGACCGACGACTCTTGACGACTTTATTGGACAAGAACAACTGATTGGCCCGCAAGGAATATTGCGTACGCTTATGGAACAAGATAAAATACCGTATGTGTTTATTACATTCTCTGCCCCAATGGTCATTAATTCATAAATTACTTATCGATCGACGTAACTTCAGATCAATGATTTTATGGGCTCCATGTGGATGCGGGAAGACGACTTTAGCAAGAGTAAGGCTAGATTGTCTATATATGATACAAGCTTATATTTCGTCTGCTTCTAATTACCAATCTACACGATACACAGATTATTGCCAAGATGACAAAATCTATATGTAAGAATTTCTAAATATGTTCATTGTGTGCTCGTTCGCGATACGAAAAAGACTTATATTGATTTCTTGATTTGCCCTTACTAACGGGGCTCCAGTCAAAGAATATTCGGGTGTTGCAAGTGGTGAGATGTTGAATCATAAAACTGATGGTTGCGTATTGTGTATTAATATACAACAGTTTCTGAAAAATATCGCTGACTGTATTGTAGGAGCTGCCGATATGAAGTAATAATTATTTTAAACTTTCGTTGTTCATAACCGTGGTTTTAAACTCTAGTCTATTATGTTCATCAGAAAAGCATTTGAAGAGGCAAAGAACGAACAAAGGTTGACGGGCCGACGAACTATTCTTTTTTTGGACGAAATGTAGGTTGATTAAACAATAGTGCGCATTCACTACTATAATTGTTCTAACGACCTAATCTTTTTCAGTCATCGATTCAACAAAGCACAGCAAGATCTATTCTGTAAATATACACAAATATGATAAGTCGTATTTTTTTTTATTCTTATTTGTTTACTGTTATTTAACGTACCGTCTGCAGTACCATATGTTGAATCAGGAACAGTCACGCTGATCGGCGCCACCACCGAGAACCCTTCATTTAAAATCAATTCGGCACTTTTGAGCAGATGCAAAATGTTTACGTTGAACAAATTATCTACAGAGGAAGTAATTACTATTCTCAAGAGGGCGATAAACGACCTGCGTGGAAATAAAGACGAAAATGAAACGGGAGTTCAAGAGACTGAAGATATGAAGAAAGACGAAGCCGAAGGTGTTAGTGATGAAGCGCTAGAATTTCTCGCTGTGATGAGTGATGGAGACGGTTTGTATCTGGGAATTATTGGCAAACTTTTTGATTTTCGAGTTTAGCATATCTGTCATACGTTGCATTCATTAGCTCGTACCGCTCTCAATGCCTTGGAGATGGCCTGGCATGGTTGTAGAGGGCGAGAAATTACCAAAGAGGATATAAAGAACGTTTTGCAAAAGTCTCATCTACAATATGATAAGGATGGAGAAGAACATTACAACATTATCAGCGCTTTGCATAAGAGTATGAGAGGCAGGTAAGCTAGAATTAATTGTGCATCTTTCACATAATATTATATTGCTGATACAATTCCCTATCTATTGTACGGACCGGGGTATACGATATCGAAGTGATGCAAACGGTAATACATAACCATGTGAATCTCTTTAATTTTGGTATGAAGACTGTTTAATTGTCGATACTGGTTGCTGCTAGCTAGTTTGTATTGGTTGGGCCGAATGTTAATCGGAGGCGAAGACCCATTATATATAGGTAAGAGATTTACTGACAGATGATTCTTCGTAAAACATTGTGAAGTTGTACGTCACGCGAGTATGTGATGAGCATTCATTATTATTACTTTTTTTTTTAATTTGTAAGCTCGACGATTAGTGCGCTTTGCTTCGGAAGATGTTGGGCTGGCTGATAATACTGCCTTGAATCTGGTAAAATAGACGTTATAAACCATCCTTTATTAATATTAGTTTATTAAATTTATTTTTCGAAATTGAAGGCGGTAGCCACATATCAAGCGTGTGCATTCATAGGCATGCCGGAATGCGAAGTCAATCTTGCGCATTGCGTTGTTTATTTGGCGGAAACCGCGAAGAGTGTTCGAGTTTATCGAGCATATAATAGGGTAAAGTACGGATACTTGTTATCTAACGTGACATTTGTGCTAATAATATTTCCTGTTTAGGTGAAACATGCTGTGAACACAGAATATGCTTATCCGGTCCCATTGCACTTGAGGAATGCTCCCACGTCTTTGATGAAGGTCGTTTAATACTCTAAGTCTTCTTTAACCTGATAACATGACATGTATTAATAAAACTGTCAACTTTACTGGTCTTGTATTACATTAGGATCTTGGATACAGTAAAGGGTACAAGTATAATCCTAATTATGAAGGCGAAGTCGATCAGGACTACTTCCCCTCAGAAATGAAGACGCGAGTATTCCTTAACGATGATGCTTCAACGAAAGGCAAGCAAACTAGTGCGTCTGGGATGCAGGAGGGGAGAGCACTAGTAAATGAATCCAGGATCAGCAAGATATCGCAGACTAATAAGACGATAAGCGAGTCCATCGCTTGGAAGAATCCATTTGAGTTGCGTCAGGAAGAATTTATTGACATTGACATGATCGACGACTAAACATCGGTTTTATTTACCGTGTAGCGTGAGTGCTCCATAATGCGATGTTAAAGTAATTAATCTGTGACTGGCACTATTTGTTTTCACTATGAGCGGCCTTGTTTTGGAAAAAATGCGAATTTAATCCTTGCTTGTTTCTTGCTATCTCGATTGCCAGAAACTAGCATAAATAATGGATTGGGTTGACATTAACAAATAAGTACGATTAAAATAGCATTATCAATCTTTGCAGTAACACTTACTTGCATCCTGAGAACTGGATGTATGTAAGTAGCGAATTAAGTTCGTTATTCTCTTTTTGATATATTTTTGACATTGTGTGGATGAGATTCATAGGAAACATACCAAATATAGTATTGTCTTCGGTGTAATCCCCTTTGACATTCTTGCGCAGTAAAGTACCAAAATTATAGTCATTTACTCGGTTTTCATACTTCATTATCCACTCCCGCCATTTCACTTTGCCTTCTGGCGACTTTAATTGATCCTCATCTACGTCATTTAAATTTACTTCGGGAAACGTTTTCATAAAGTCGTCATATATTTCGTCATCGATTCTATTGCGCAATGCCAACGAGCACAATTATTACAACAATCCGCAATGACGACAAATATCACAGAAAAGTTGGATCAAGAACCTCACTTTGTCAAGTTAAATGTCTTGGCATCAATAGAATTTATGATATTAAAATATGTCTCAGCATGATGAGTAGCCCTTACTACCCACTGTGTTTCTAATCCAGCATCAATTGAATCAGTTTGTCTACATTGCCTAAAGATTCTATAGGGAAATTGACAAAGCAATCTATACCGATATCAGGAAGGTTTATGACTTGTTCTGCAGTTGGAAGGGTCATTTCTCCTATCCGAAATTGCACGCTTCCCGGCAGAGGTCATTGTACATCTGAACCAATCAGAAATTTTTATCATTTCACATGGAATCATATTTTACTTTTCTCGTTATTTTATTATGACCTGATGAGACGGAGACTACTCTCTAAAGTGGAAATTACGGACACAGGTGGAGATGCTACAATTAATTTTGGCTTTCTAATCAAACTTTAATTGAGGACCACTCAATCACCGATGCTACAACTATTTGACGACGAAGCGATTGTCCAAGTTGTCGACAAAAGGAACGAGCTAGTGTCAGAGGAAATTGCTACCGATTAGCACAGAAGAATGCGAAAAAGGGAATATCCAAACTGTATCTACAAACTTTAAGTTGATAAAGTAAATTAGTAATAGTTCCATTAGCAATAAAATCTCGTATGATCGGTTGCGTCGACATTTCGGGATACTTAGCTTTCAAATTTATTACTGTTTACGGAATATTTGTAAAATTAGATCATCAGCCAATCACGTTCGAGTTATGCGGAAAAAATGGGGAGGGTTGCTCGGCGAGTGCAGCAATGGAAGAGTTGGCAATGAGCGACGAAGAGCGTGATGATTGTCCTTGCCAACAGCTTGCAGTAATACCTGACACTGCAATTTGTGCAAAGTGCGACAAATTAATCCCGGTATTAGCCGAAGTACATAAAGGACACTTGCAACGGGCGATTGACCTGGATATTGCTAATAATGCAGTTAAAGAGGAATCTGAAAAGTTAGAGCTACAGAGTGATGAAATCGAGTCATTACGGAAGAAATTAGAAGAATTAGAGGATGTAATAGATTTGAAGACCGATGCCTTCGAGGCTTTGCAGCGTGATATGGAAATATTAAACGAGAAATACGTTGATGAAATCGAAAAGGTTGCCGAATTACAACATTCCAAAGACATGGTCGAGGGGGAATTAGAGGAGCTGAGTCGATCATTATTCGAGCAAGCCAATGGTATGGTCGCGTCCGAAGCAAAACAACGACACGAATTAGAAGTTCAACGTAAACAACTCGAGAATCAACTTCGCGAAACTCAGGAACGTCTCGGAGCTGAATCACTTCAACTCCAAGAATTGCGACAGAGGTTAGAACAAGTCACTCAGCAGCAGCCGGAATTAGAAAGCAAACGGTCAAGCTATACCGATCCGTCGTTTAGAGCAAGTATAGATTTTGCCGAGTTATTTGGTCTTCGTGAGAAAGTGCCTGAAGCTGCAGCCACTCTGCCACCACCGACAGGTGAAGATGGAACTGGCGTTGATCAGGAGCTATTGAGCGAGTTTAGCGAATTTATCGAACAAAGCCAGTCACAGCCTGTAAAAAATCTTCATAAAATTCCCTTCATGAGACATTGTTTGGAAGAGGATGTCGACTCGTGTATGCGATTTGGTAATAACCCACGAGTATCAGCTCGTAGGATAGTAGATGCTGTAGTTGCGAATACTTGTTGTATCGAGGAAGCCCCTCCTGACGCCGAGAAAGAGCTTGAGAAGCATCCGAATTCTCCCATTAGAAACTCGGCTGCAAAATTAGTACTCTGGGATCGGTTTTCGAGCACTTCTACCGTAAATCCACGATTATGCTGTCAGTGCTGCGGTAGACCTGGGCCGCTACCATATAGATTTCGGATATCCGCGTTAGACGATTGGTCTCTCATCGATCGATACTGTCGTGATCGATTGGTTGCCGTATGCGAATTTTATGTATTCATTAGAAACGTTCGACAAAGTCTATATTCCAATCGATCAGTGGAAGATTTGTACGCAGAGTGTTTGAGATTACGGTTGCAAATGTTTTACGCTCGGCTTGGAGCATTGCCATCAATGCTGCGTACACTTGGACTGAAAAGCACTGATGTTGCACCTGCTAAGAAACCGACAATAGAACCTCCAGAAATGACAGAGGCCGAGCCGTCGTCACCCGCCTCCGGTCATGTGTCTGAATAATAACAATATTATGAACAGCAACAGCGGTCTCCGTCCCCGGTCCTCCTCCGGTCAATACAAATAATAAATTATTATAATAATAAGCGGTTCCCCGCCCCCCGGTCCTCCGGTCGTTATATGAAATGATAACAATCGATTGTTATAACAGCAACAGCGGTCCCCCCGCCACCTGGATGTAATAGTAATAGTTTTAATAATGATAGTTCTGTGCCCGCGAATGGGCTTTTCTTAGGGTCACGAATGATCCATAATGTATTGTTAAAAATTTTTATATTTGTTGAGATAATAATAAATTGTACTAAATCAAAGTTACTGCATGATCTATTACATTTGTAGGTTGTCAATATTGAATGTGTAATAGTAATTTGTTCTTTACCCTGGTTAATACACCAATTAATTCAAGGGTATATGTCGTAAAAAATTGTTTTTGAATGCAATTGGAGAGCTGTAGAGAATGACATGGAATTCATCATTGCGTTGATGTCTAGCTTTCTGTACATACCGGACTAAAAGTAAATGGGCGATGAAATCATGTTATTGGACTTGTGCAACCTGTGTATTATGTACTTACTATTCTTTCAGTCTTGTACATGCAAATACTCACTGTTGAACGCGGTCTGCAATTCTTGAGCTCTGCTGTTGATGCTTAGTAATAAGTCGACCGGCCAATGATCGTAGGCAAATCCTCACTCACTTTGTCATAACCATGGAATTACATCTTTAAATACAAATTTATATAACAATAATTACGCGTATCCCTACTCTCGTTGCGCACTACGATTTTAGCTACCCGTAATCAATAAAGGTTCAAGCGCTACCTCACTCAAATGGTAATATGACTTACTGATTATATTATAAAATCTTTTGATGTTACAATGCTTTCGCGAAAGACTCGTCACTGGGCTATCCCATCTACAACGCTAGATGCGCCGGCATAACAAAATAGTACCGAAAAATAAATAACATAATTAGCTATTTACACACATCTAATATACTCCTCCTAATTCCTGTTAATATTATTAATTATAGTGTACGTCAACAAGTCTTCATTCCAGCTAAGACTTTATTTGTTTCTGATGAGTATGATATTATATCGTGTGTTTTTGCTTGTTGGTACAAATCATACAAGAGAACGATCGTACGAACGTTTCAAAGCATTGTCAGCTATTAAGATCACAAAAATATAAAGAAGGATTATCATGGTTTAATTTACATTATTAAGAGCGTGTAGAAATCGAGCAAATTTGGTTTTGGCATGGCACCTTACATGGTGGGCTGCTAATGCCAAAATGAATTTGAAACTGATTATTTTTATCCGTATTGCTCTAATCCACCCATGTATTGAATAATGTTTTATTCAAGCACTTATTTACTGTGTTGAGGTTACAAGTCAAATCATGGTTACACGAGTCTTAAAACCGCAGACACTATGCTCACAAGTCATATAGCGAAGGCAATATAGCTGCAAACACGTAGTGCCAGAAACATTCATAAGTACGGCCGAAAATTATTTACAACTCTAACCTGGTTCTTAACTTTAATTAAATATACGAATAATAATGGCTGTCAAGCTGGGCAGGATAAAAAATAGAATTTGATTTTTGATTCCAGTGTTGTACTGCAGTGTCGTAATGAATGGGAAATAAGAGCTTGGTTCTAACCAACGACATTTAAAACAAACTAAAACTGGTAGAAAACTTGGAAAATCAACAGAAAGACGTTTGTAAAGGCACGCAAAGAAAAAACTCTTCAATCTTAATGTTTACTTAGCTCATTTGGTGGCAAAATTTTACCCTAGCAATAAAAAAAAGAGAGGTAGTCTGTGGCAAATCGAATGATGACTGCAATCATATTATATGATATCTCACTGGTAACTTTCATTAGTAAAGTCGACTCATCTGATATTGCCCCATGACATTGCAAAGATACTGTAGAATGCTGACTAATGAATGGCGCTGATAATATTTATTATAGGCTGTGTTTTTATGACCTTGCAAAGTAAAATGATGGCTAGTGTATCATATAATTTGTTGCTGATAATATTTATCAGTAATTATAAGAAAGAATTGCATAGTAATAATATTTCTTTTAGTATAAAATTCTATCACATTATTACAAAAACAAGCTCACAGCATGACTAAATTATAATAACTATACGCTGTTTTCTATTACTATTTTTCATTAAAAATTTTCAATAATTAGAGACATTTTTTGCTCAAACCTTATTTTTGCAATTAATTTACGAGTTTTTGATAAAATTTAGATCCGGAATATTCATTCATTTTTTTTTTGACAAAACTTTTATGGTAATTTACAAAGTATTCTTAAGAGTTGCTGTCATGTTGCAGCTTTCATTTCTTCATTGTGTTGTAAACCAAAAAGAAGACTTTCTCTCATGGAGAGATGCCTTCCATATCCATGCAAACCACAATTATTTTGATACACACTGTGAATATGCAAGACAAAAAAAAAAGCATATTAGATGATAGAAGATGACACATAACATTATTAATGCTGCCATATGTGACCCACAAGTATAAATAGTGTTGTACTGCAGTTCCGAATACAACAATACTCGACAAATATTATTATCAGTCAATGATAGACTGTCAAGTGCAGCAAACATGGTGTAATGAGTTTGAACAATTAATATCAGTATACATTGAGTCAATAAATTGATCCATACTAATACAGATATGTTTTATCTGGCTGCGAGTAGCATTATGTATATGTAAATTGTTGATGGAAATGAGTAAGTCTTCTTAAATTATTAATTTTTAATTGTTGAATTGATGGAATAAATAAATTTTTTTACAAACTCAATTTGTCTTTTTTTAAACAATTAAACTTTTTTGTTATAAGAGTAAAAATGCAGCACACAAGGTTTATGTAGTTTGTTATTTGACTTAGACCAACGTTTTGTAACCAGAACCTAATACAATAACGGATTATAACGGCTGAAAAAAAAAAAGCAAACTTATTACACCCAAACAAGGCGGGTTATTCAGAACGGTTTATTAGTTAATTCTCTGTTAACTATCCACAGAGACATGATCGAGACATCACTTCTGGTGACGCAGTCACATGAATAAATCAGTATAGAGACACCAATGTAGCGTTTCAAAATTGGTGTCAACATAGCATGTAAGCGGATAGCCATTTAGGTAATCTTAGAGTGTTCCAAATTTTGATTTCGATTCCAATTTCCGGTGTCGGAAGAAGAGATATAAGCGACCGTCATCCCATCGTTTGATTCTCATGTTTGTTGTTAAATATTGATTGCTAATATTCTACGGACAATAAACTTATTTATCAGTCTTTCCTTAAAATTTCTCCATCAATTAATTAATTCTACTGCGCTCCCTCAAACCAAAAGGTTAGGTAACAAGCCACTCAGGCTATGAGCGCAAGCATAATTAATATTCGAAAAAACGCAACCCAAGAGGAAATTAAAAAAGCTGGTGGTGAATTGTTTGTTGTAGAAGCACTACCAGAGCCGACTTAATCCCAGGTGTAAAAGAATTTAGCGTTTTTCAATTTTTTGTCTTAGTTTTTCATTATGTTGCTAATTTTCCCCGAGTTTTCAAAATCAATTTGGCCTTGCAATTAATTCAAATTAGTACACGATAATATTTTATTGATTATTAATTTGTGACACAAAAGTTTTTGACTAGTTAAAATACATTGCCCTGTTTAATTTGGAGCTTACATTTCCCTTCGGCTCAACAAAATTAATACATTACCACAAAATAGTATACGTTGTTAATATTACTCGGCGTATTTCCTTACTTGAATACGATTACCGAAAGAGCGTTACGTATAGGGAATCAGGAAGCGCGCATAATAATTAAGTTATACAGTGTGTTGTGAAAAAAAATGGGCGTGATTGAAAGATTAGTTTTTGGAACAACAAAAAAAGGCGTTTGTCTGCATGGTTTTTATATTTATAAAAATTTGTTTGCTTGTCATTAATTACATTTGCAAAAGTAAATACTTTTTTCCTTGACTAATTTTCTCACTTAAACCTTGTAACAGCACAGCGTCAAACAATTTTACATGATTAATTTGTTCTGCCAAAAAGATACACCAAAATACAAAGATTGTTAAGAAAAGAGTGGGATAAAACTCCTGGGAACTTAATCGGATCAACGTGAATCAGTGTTACAAAACAATGGGAATAGAATTTCGTTATGAATATTTTTATATTCAATACAGTCGTTTATAAGCTTCGATAAGTAGACTTTTATTTGTCTCCGTTGGGTATTGTTGAGATCTAAAATTTATTTGTGCGCCATTTTTTTCGCAACACACTGCAAAGCATTCAGTCTTAGTTGTAGATAGCTGAGCTAGTTTAGTTTAAAATCCCCCTGCCGGCCGCAACGCCTGCAGACGCTCTCCCAAACATACCCCCTAAATATTACGCCGACCGCAACACTTTTTATTTTTGTTTCACAACAAAACATGTGTAACCATTTTCGAGTAATACACTAATGAGTGAGTTAAATCAATCAAGAAGGAAGGGTAGTCTTATATTTCTAGGCGGTGCTGTTGTGGTCTAGCGTTGAGAGCTTCCTTACAGGCAGTCAGTTCTTCTATGATAGGCGCAACAAGATTCATAAAAGTTTCGTAAATCCATCGCTTTCTATATTTTCTTGCCAAGTACATTTACATTACGCTCGCTACACTATCAAGATTCTATTGTCGTTATAAAACATAAGAATGTTCAACCTTGCAGATGGTTACTGTAAATGATAAAGATGTTGTTTCTTTTAAGATTCCACTTCTTTGTTAGCTTGCTATAATGAAATATCTCAAAGGCAAGAATGATTGAAATGAGTGCAAGATGCCTCAACACGTTCTCTGGGTTATTATCTTAGAACCCCTGTTTATTAATAAATTTATTCACCAAATATTGACATGACGAAAATATCAACAAAGAATAGTCACGTAAAAATTAATGTCTGTACACATATTGCACTTCTTACCAGCAGATCTAACATTATACATCGATGCCCTGTTTCACACTACAAGGTTAAAAATGGTTTGTTTGTAGATACAAAAGTCTCTGGACAACAGATATTTAGCCATAACTTTGATACAGTTGCGTTATATCAGATAATTAGATACCCGTTTGAAAGGCAACTTTATTTAATTAAGTATTTGTTCGCCATCATTGCCAACAGTAAGCCGATAGCGTTCCTTAATTGACCGATTAAATATTTTGCGGAATATTGTATCATAAACTGATCTAATTCTCAATATTTGTAGATTCGTAAAAAGTTGCGCTTATTATTATCTGTATTATGCACAGTGAAAGGCGATATAACGGACCGCCAATAAAATGGACATCTCTCTGGTCGTTTACTATATAATATTTAATACAACAATATTACGGATTAAAACGCTTGTTCCGACTAGTCCGTATATCGATTTCACGTATGTATACTGTTGTAACGTTTTAGTTTCAGACTAACTGATAAGGGCAAATCTTTGGCCCACTATCTTGTATTGTAAGCAAGTCTTTGGTGAATCTCCGATCTTGTTATATGTTGAACAGACTGACGTTTCAAGAATCCATTCCGAGAGGTTGAATGCAAAGTAACACAAGCGATTCATTCTTTCTTTAGTATTAGAGAACATTTGTTCCAGAAAGGGTAACAAACCCCTGCGCTTCCAATCGATTCGTAAACCGATATTACCGATAATTCCGTGTTGTCTTTTTGATAAGTTTTGATTGAAATTGACAATTTTATCTATTGGCGTTGACAAGTATTAGTCTAATCGAGCTGAATGGTCTCCCCCTGAAAAAAGATAAACTTTGCAGTGAGACAATCGGTGAATAAACAGGTTTTTATACCAGAAATTTGTACTCTTGTGTTGTCGCAAGTTTCGGATTCGTTGTTTGGTAAACAAACGGTTTTTTATGGCAAGCCAAAATCAAAAAAGTGTTTATTTGCCACTTTTTTATGAGATTTAGCGATTGATGGTAATAGACAAAAAACCATTATTTATGGTTATTGACCTTCTGTTGAGCGCGTTGTATCAGCTGAACATCGTTTACTGATTATTCTTTTTATCATTGCCCGTTTTATAAGGGAGTGATTTAAAAGTTTGTCTTTATAACATGATTGAGTCTAAATTTGGCAAAAAATCTGGTACCTCTCTTTGTGCAGTTGAGGATAATCTTTGCAAGATCAAACAAGGCAAATCCATTGAACGCAATAAGGGTAGTGGACGTCCATCAAAGTTTGTTAGGCAAGCTGTTCGCTGTAATAGTGCCATTTCAACTCGTCAGCTTCAAACAACGTGTAATAACGGTGCATCAGTCTCATATGTCGACCAATCGTCATTATAAGCTCACATGAATGACCTTTGTAAAATAATTTGTAAAAACCGATCCGTAAATTACCAAATTACGCCAAAAAGTAATACATATGGGGAGGAATCTCTCTAAAGGGCAAAGACACCATTATTCTATTCACTGGTATTATGGATGGACCCTATTATATTTAATATATTGCAAACCCAGCTGTTAAAAATTTACATTGGTAGAAACTGGCGTTTTGCCCAGGATAACGAACCTCTCGGATTGCAAAGGATTTCTTTGTTGAGAATCGGATTAACGTAATTGAATGCCATTCAACAGCCCATAGAAAATATGTGGTTTAGTATGAACAATAATGTTGAAGCAATTTATGAGAACATATTCAGTACAAAATATTATTTTGTCTATGAAACGGAGATGTGAACTAATTTACCTTTCAAACGAGCCTAGCTACGTTGTGTAGTTGTGGAACAACGATTTTTTCGTTATCCTTTTTTTTTCGTGATTTTGTTAACATTAGTTGTAAAAACAGGCAAGCTTCCCATACGGCATGCTATTCCCTACAAGAGCGGTAATCTCATTTTCATCTTTCTTCAAAACATGTGCGAATATGAATAATAAACGTCCGATAAATAATGCGCAATCCCAAAGCCAGAGATCAACTGACATTTGAATGTCAATTATGACATCATGCAGCACTCAGTTAATTGGGTCACCGATAGTCCGGATGGCTCTTAAAAAAGACATATCGAAACAGGTGTTAACCATTTTGTCATAGATAAAAACAGCCTAAACTGGCGTTTTAACGAGCACCTTGTGGTGAATAAAAAACTTCCTCGCGATAGTTAACCGTTTTGCTTTAACTAAACCATTTGTCAACATTTTTAGTTTTCCCATTCAATCTCTTATCAGTCATATCGTTACGATTAAATAACCCAGCCTGTTATCTACTACATTCTTAATGTTGTGACATGCACAAGACTTTTTGACATCACACAAATTCCCTTACAAGTACAAATCGGGAAACACGCTGAAGTTAAAGTTTGCAAAGGGCAGACCATCTGCTCTAAAAAAAAATATTAATAAAACACGCCCATACAAGAATCCACTCGCTCTTCCCCAAAGTCTCACAATACCATTTAGACCTAGTCACATACCACTGACATTATCATAATGCCTTCCTTATCAGCAACCTCGATGCGGCCACAAGAACTCCCAGCTCGCTTTCGTAGCCTCCTCTGCTTTATTGCCTCTAAATCGTCTCGCGCTCCCATTGAGACGATTGTATTCTGTCTTATAATAGCCTCTTTTTCTTATGCGTCGTTATTCAGATCATTTGTAGAATCTGACTACTTCAATGATAAAACTCCAACACTCGAATCAACTCAAGTCATTGCGCGTCCCGACTCTGACAATTTCATACCACTTGCAACCAGAGAGTCAATAACTCAAGCATCAAGATTACAATTGAAGCAGATTATTATTGAAGGAACATCGGGGGATTATTACAGCGTCTTAGACAAAAAAATATTAGAAAGTGTATTAGAATTGCAACACGTACTAGAGAAAGTGATGGATGTAAATGACGGAATGAATAAATTGTATTACAACGATGACTTATGTTATAAATCAACACTCGACAATAATGGTAGCTGTTTCGTCGCATCCCCACTTCAAATATGGAATAACAACCATGGGACATTAAATTCAGATACGAATATACTCGAAACTATTCGAACTCGTATTGAACTTGGTGAAGCACAGCACTTGTTCAGAGATCTAAGTTTACAAGAAAACACAAACAATCCGACTGCGTTAGCACTTACATACGCATTCAACACAAACGGTCCATTCAGAGTACGCTGGGCTAATATGTGGGAAGATAAAGTGGCTACGTTGAAGATTGGAAGATTGGCATCGATTGGAAAGAAGCAACAGCAGACAGTCGAAAAAGGTTCTGTTGCTTGGTTGGTGATGTCTTTTGGAAATATGGCATCAAAAATAATGGAGGCAATACAGGTAATGAAGAGGAGAGGCAGAATTATATATCATCACAAAGATTATTCATACAAGCTACTTTCGTCGTCATCATCACACGTAGAACGCGGAGACTGTCGATATAATAGTCGTATTTGCTGGATATTTGTTGATGCATATGACGTTCCTTGGACTCTTCCTAAATATGCGCAAGATCGGTTCTCGTTTTATACTCGGTAAATAACCTCAAACTAAGAAATACGAATTGTTAATCAACGATTGTTCTCTGATGAGCATCGACCAGTGAGTTGAACAAATCGCAAAGAATTATTGATTAACTCGTACATACTCTTTAGCAATGTGTGTGCTCTGGAATGGATTTTTTGCCTTCTTGGCTGCGATGTTAACAGTTAATCTTCTTGGCGTCTATGTGAATCCGATGCTGTTAAGGTATGAAATAGCAATCAAATATGGTATTATCGTCCAAACAATCAATTAATATGCAACAAAAAACTACTATTTGTCAGCGAGGCAATACCTTTCCTTGTAGTAACAGTTGGTTTTGAAAAGCCGTTTGTTCTCACAAAAGCCGTCCTTCAAGCATCTTCAAACAGTAACCCTCCAAGTTCGCCAAAGGACGTGAAAAGTCACACTACAATATCATACAACGTCCGTGATAATGTTCTGGCTGGAGTGAACAAAGTTGGTCTGAACATCGTCCGAGATTATTCGATCGAAATAGCAGTCTTGGTGGTCGGAGCTTTATCGGGAGTGGCTGGATTACAAGAATTTTGTTTCTTGGCCTCATTTATTTTGTTCTACGATTGTGTGTTTTTGTTTAGTTTTTACACTGCTATGTTGACCATGAAACTTGAGGTGAGTAAACAGTATATTTAGCAAGTAATATTCGATAGATTGATCCAACATGCGATTATCATTCCAGTTGAAACGGATAAGAGAATCAAGTCTCAAGCAAATGGCTGTAGAAGACGAAAGCACTGTCAGTCCAAAAAACATCCGACAGAATATTTTCAAAGCGTTCCGAGACACTACTGTTGAAACTGAATCATCGAAAAAATTAAACAATCCCATGATTGCGAGAATCAAATTATTAATTGTAAGTCATTTATTCGGGTCCATCCATGTCTGTTATAACAACTGTTAATATCATTGACTTTAAATAGATAGTAGGCTTCGTGATCATGCATGTGATGAATCTTGCTAGCACACTGCACACGAACGACACAGTTTCCCTTCCTTCGAAAGCAATGCCCAAGGTCACCAAAGTCGACATCAACGACTCCACTATACACCCAATTCTCAGTCTTCTCCTTCGGGAGCATCGTCAAAGTCCTCGTGCCAACCTACCTCTCATTGTAGACATTGCTCCGCCAGTGGTATTTCGCATTATTTCGAACATCGGAAGCCCGATATCAGAGCGCGTCTACGAAGCATTCAACGAATTGATGAATTTCTGGAGTTACTATGTACAAGATCCTGTTTTAGCCAAATGGATATGGGTTATGCTTGGGGCGTCTGTGGTGTTGAACGTATACCTATTGAACACACACAAGATCCAGCCAAACGAAAACTCAAACGCGGGCGATATGACAACGGCAACTACAAAGACAGAGATGATCAACACAGTGAGCAAAGCGAAGACAGATATAGAAAAGATAGTTGCTAATGCAGTCACCTCAACTACTAAATCTTCACAAGATCTTCATTCAACTAAAGTAATTCCCAAGATTTCGTCATCACTACAAAAAGAAACATCATCTCTTACAACACCTTCCACTCCAGCAAAGGAGCCATCTCCTTTGATAATGAGTTCGGCTGAAGCTCGTACAGACCTTTGCAGTACAGTATCCTCATCATGCAAGACACCTCCGCCTAGCCCCACTCTTTCACCTGTTCATTCATCTTCATCTTCAATGGTACGCACTCTTTCAGAATGTCTCGAAGTATTTGATAATTCACCGCTCGGCGCCGCAGCGCTGTCAGATGAAGAGATAGTACTGCTAGTTCAGAACGGCAAATTTAGCATTCATTCATTGGAGAAAACGCTCAAAGACTTTTTGAGAGCAGTCAAGATCCGCCGAATGGTATTATCACGGATATCATTAACGAAAACGCTAGAAACATCTGCATTGCCAATGAGCCATTATGATTATACAAAGGTGTATGGAGCGTGTTGTGAAAGCGTTATCGGATATATTCCTGTACCGGTTGGAGTTGCTGGTCCACTCAATATCGACGGCGAGTTGCTTCATATTCCCATGGCGACGACCGAAGGATGTCTCGTAGCTTCGACGTCGCGAGGATGCAAAGCAATAAATGCAGGTAATTTGTGTTTTTGATTTAGTTGCGCCTACTAATGAACGACCGGAAAGAAAACACTTTGCACTAACCATGCGCAATATATGTAGGTGGGGGTGCCGTTACAGCTGTGACAAACGACGGAATGACGCGGGGTCCTTGTGTCGAGTTTGGAAGCTTGGAACGAGCTGCCGAAGCTAGACGATGGCTAAGTGAAGAGGGAATGAATATAATAAAGGAGGCCTTTGATTCTACTTCTCGGTTTGCGAGGTTGCGTAGTTTGAAGAGCGCATTAGCAGGGAGATTGCTGTTTATTAGATTTGCAACAACTACTGGCGATGCTATGGGAATGAATATGATTTCTAAAGGGTGTGAGAAAGCCCTTTCGGTAATGTCAGAACATTTTCCGGATATGCGGATTATTTCCCTATCCGGAAATTTCTGCACTGATAAGAAACCGGCAGCTATTAACTGGATTGAGGGGCGTGGGAAATCTGTTGTGGCTGAGGCGGTGATCCCTGGTAAGACGGTGCAGGAAGTATTGAAGACGTCTGTCATGGCCTTGATAGAGTTGAACACGTCAAAGAATTTAATTGGATCCGCGATGGCAGGAAGCATTGGTGGGTTCAATGCGCATGCAGCCAACATTCTGACGGCGATTTACATTGCCACCGGACAAGATCCGGCTCAGAACGTTGAAAGTTCAAATTGTATAACTTTGATGAAGGCGTAAGTATTTATTATATGGGATTAAGTTTATATATATGATCTATGTGTTGATTAATGTCTGTTTTCTGCAGTGTAAATGATGATCAAGATCTTCTTATAACGTGCACGATGCCGTCGATCGAAGTGGGAACCGTTGGCGGGGGTACAATTCTAGCTCCTCAAGGTGCAATGTTAGACATGCTGGGAGTGCGCGGGGCACATCCAACAACGCCAGGTGCCAACTCCCAGAAATTGGCGAGAGTTATCTGTGCAGCAGTAATGGCTGGAGAACTCAGCTTGTGTGCTGCTTTGGCGGCCGGGCATTTAGTAAAATCACATATGCAACATAATAGATCGCAACAGCATCCTGTGCATCAGCACGATAAGTACCATCACGTGCAGATGCCTCACCAGCTACATTCTAATCATCAGAGTGAACAGAAACAAGTTGGAAAGGATATATTATCAGAAAAAGAAGTGTCAAATGCAAACCATTAAGACTGTGTTATATTTAAAAAGTATAATGTACTGTACTGTATGATTAATTATTTAGATAACAGTTGTAATAAAGTGTGCATCATAAACTGGTTTTGTATCATTCACAGAAACATTGATCTCGTTTCTTCAAATGCGACGACTACATCATAGTAAATGGAAAAGGGTTTGTCATCCTCCCATTATTTTATTGCCAATATGCCTAAATCCTTTCTTAAGTGATCCAGCTTCATATCCCAACATTCCTCAAAGTAAACGTTCAATAACAATTTACTCTGTAACCCACATTGCAACGCCCAGGGAACGTATTTCTCAAACAGACGCTTTCTTTCTTCATGCGTTAGACTAAAATGTCCAAAGAAAGATGAAATTGTAGCTACCGGTAAACCCGTTTGCATCATTTCAAACCATTTGAGTGCTAGTTCAGCCTCGACCGTAGTGGGAAGATTTGTAAGAGTATGAAAGAAATCGTGACATTCACGAAATCTTTGCATGACGTAGGCTAGTTCTTCATCATCTATGAAATGGACCTGTTATAACCACAAAAGACATGTTAACCTTTCTGCAGACTGAATTGGGGAGTAGTTAGTAAAAAGCTACCAACCTTGACACGCGTATCAGGCGATACTTTCTGATCGTCTAAAAATCTTACGTATTCTCGACCAAACGATCCGTCGGGTAATCGACGCAATGCCACAATATCGACTGTACTTGAATTTATGACAGGTTTATCTCTCAGGATTCTACGACCAGTTTTATCTTTCAACATCTTATCACGTAGGGAGACTAGAGCAAAGGGTGGCAACATGGAGGTGGTTTCTCCCAAAGCAGCCACCATGTCTGAAGGTATTGTTTCTGCTCAGATATCATTAACAAACTGAGAGCAAACAATTTAGTGTCATCATTCTATCATACAAAACCTTGCCTGGTCGGATCAATTAAAGCGGTTATAGCAGATGCAACCGTCAGCAACGATTTTTGAAGTGTTGAAATAGGTATGTGGGATGGATAGAGTTTCTGTTGATTTTCATTGTGAGCGTAGGCTAGATTGCGTAAAAAGAGTTAATTCCGAATTCGATAGAATAATAAATAACGAATTTCCACTTCACCTGATAACGTATAATACCGTTTATTATTTATATCTGTCAATATGCGCGAGTTTAATCTTCTTGCTCTCATCATCACAATCTTAACATCAGACTTTATGAAGATTTTAAATATAAATATAGCCAATGAAATGTCAAATTCACCATCACATGATGACGTATAAACACCGCTAAACCTACTACGAATGTACCAAAGTTCGCGATCGCAATGTCTCGCCCAACCGAGGAGCGTAACCAGGAAGCAACAGTGTATATAGGAAATCTAGATGAACGCTGTACAGAGGCACTAATATGGGAGTTGATGCTTCAAGCTGGACCCGTAGGCAAGTACATGAGATCCACTGCACACTCGATAGTAACGGACAAAACGCAAACTCCTCTTCTCTATCTTTTTAGTAAACGTTCACTTGCCAAAGGATCGAGTAACACAGACACATCAGGGTTATGGGTTCTGTGAATATATGAGTGAGGACGATGCTGATTATGCTATAAAAATAATGAACCAGATTAAGTTATACGGAAAGCCTATTCGTGTTAACAAGGTCTGTAACTGCTTCAATTCAATTAATCGATGAACGTCTCAAACTCATTGCCTCCGTTCATTCTCTGTAGGCTACCTCAGACAAGAAGAATCTTGACGTTGGCGCTTCCCTATTCATTGGCAATTTAGATCCAGACGTCGACGAAAAGATGCTATACGACACTTTCAGTGCCTTTGGAGTGATCGTACAAACACCAAAGGTAATTGTCGGTTAACGAAGACATCGTAATATTATTGTTGGCACTATGCATTTATAATGTAGGTGCGCTCACTCATTTTCTCCTGATGCTTTTCTATAGATCGCAAGAGATCCTGACACAGGAAATAGTAAAGGTTACGGGTTTATTTCCTATGATAATTTCGATTCCTCAGATGCAGCAATTGATGCAATGAATGGGCAGTATTTGATGAATAAACCAATTACTGTATCTTACGCCTTCAAGAAGGATGGCAAGGGCGAGAGACATGGAAGTGCCGCAGGTAAATAAATTTGACTAGGTGTCACACAGAGGCGATGGATATATATGATTTTATTATTCGTTCATTTTGAAACTTTATTATATGCTCACAAATTCTTGCTTGCACGCGATAGAGCGTCTACTCGCAGCTCAAGCAAAGAAACATCAAACACTACCGAACAGATTGTTTGCTGATGTGCGTCCGACTCCAATCCCACCAATGATCGGGATAAGGTCGGGAGCTCCACCGCCCCCGCCACCACAACAGATGATGGCGTCAAGGCCAATGGTGTCACCAACAGGAATGTATGGCGGATATCCGCAGGTCACTGGTGCGAATGCTATGCAACAAGGACCGAGGCCACCAGTAATGAATCCTGGAAGCATGCCTCAGGGATACCCACCGAGACCACCGATGATGTCTGGAGGTTGGTAAAGGGGCGTACAGACTTTGAACGAATAATTGAGGAAAAAAAAAACATTTTTACTAAATGTTAGAGACTGAACAGAAACAGAGCAACACCATTTAATGTGCACAGGATGATAAATGTTATAATAAATAGTGCTAGAGAAATAATAACTGATCTCGCGTATGCAGCTCGCCCACCTCCATTCAATGGCCGATCATCATTTCGACCGTCTGGAGCATATGAGCAGTATTCTCAATCGACACCAGGACAACCCCCTCCGAACCAGCAAGCATATATAGCTAACAAACTCAACACATAAGTTAATAGTTAGTATAATATCATGTATAGTATTTGGGTTTAGATAATGCCGAGAAGAGCATTCTCATTTGAATAAAGAAAAGTTCTGCTTAATGAAACCGCTGTAATATGTCGGATCAGGACCATATCAATGTTTGGTGTTATGAGATCGCTTTTGAACGTTCCAACTTTTTACTGTTTTTCCTATTATTTTGTTTGTTTCGATTCTCTGCTTTTACTAAAAATAGGATCTAAAGATGTTAAAACGTTTACATTGCAAAAGGATAGAACGTCATTGGTTCGACATGTAGTTGTGAAAATGAAACAGCAATATGGGATAAATTAAGTGACATGAATGTTAAGTGATCTATCATTACTATTCGAATTCCGCATTAAATTTGATGTGGGTCTATTACCGGTTTTATAGCTGCATCAATTCGCGGCCTGCAATACACTGGAAATGTTTGATAAACTTTATGCATATCTGAGGTTTGTATAATTTGGACATCTGCGGGAAAGATCATGTGCTCAAGGCATTTATTATTATAGAAAATTTGTCTTAATCTGGATCTTAAATACTCATACCAAATTGAACTTTAACGTCGTCGTTAAACGAACGTCTGATAAATTAATATTCGAACTAGTTTCTTGTGGTTTGAAACGCTAGCTCTCATCCTTAAACGTAGCGTATTTAGACGTATTAAGATATACTCGGTAATGCTTAAGCTATATAATTTAAATGTATTCTTGGGGTCACCAACAAAAGCTACCAAAATAGGATAACTCGAAATAATGGGAATTTTCGTCGGTGAAATGAATGCCTCCCGTCATTTGCATACGTGCTTTATTAGTGCACAGTGCTTAGTTGCAAACGAGTTAATTAGCTACTTAACACGTATAAGGTGGTGAATCCTCGCTTGGGTTAGTATAAAAGTCTACTGAAGAAACCGGATATCTTAAGGTAGGGTGTCTTACTGACGCCCAACTCTGAACTAATACATTGTGTTTCGGCGAACATAAAAGTTAGAAATATATTCTGCTTGACAAACTATTTGTAAATAATTATGAAAACCCAGGGAGACGATTGGCCTTGAAGAGTAAAGCTGTTAAATGAACATGCTCAATGAAACGAGGTAGAATTACCGCCGCTTGTAAAATCTATCGAAAGGACGCACATTTTACATTTAGGTAATACACCAGTTATAATTGTATCAAAACAAAGCCTGCCTTTTCGGGTTGCTAGGTGATTCCCGACATTTTCGAAGTGAGTGCGACCAAATTCCTAACAGATTGAAATAAAGTGGTGTATTGCGATCTCAATAAACAAGGGTTCTCGGTTAGGCAATTAGAAATATATCTAGAGAGAACGTGGGACGCTTCACGTAATTCAGCAAACTTCTCTCTTGGAATCATTTCTGAGCAACCACAATTGCAAACTATTGTAATTTGTCTATTTTTTCGAACTTCTTGAGCTAGGTAGCGTACGTTCCGATCGGACATTGACCTCGGTCTTCCACTCCTAGGTAGAACTGTTGTCCTTTGGCTATCCCGAATGCATTAATCGCACGGGTAACTTGCGATTCTGAAAGCCCAAGAGCTTCAGCAATCTCGCGGGCATTTTTCCCGCAATCCCACTATCCGATCACTCTACCTCTTTCAAAATCTGTAAGTTCCCTATTTAATGGCATAATTTTTTTTTAATATTCTTAAAATTCAGAAATTATTCTTTCGATAACAAAAAGAACTCGATGAAGTTTGATAAAGTACTTGGCTCGTAAACACACTTTAAAGATTATCGAGTTAAACAAAAGTTTGTGTAACATTTAGATTTTGTCGATACTTTTTTCCGGTGAGTGTAGAAGTATCTTTTTAGGGAAAGGCTAAAGCGGAGCAGAACGTGATCCTGTATTTGCAGTTTTATTGGCTGCCATACAAATTTGACCAATGGAATTGCGAGGGATCTGCTCCGCTTTAGACATGCCCTTTTTTTAGAAATGATCTTATTCTTGTACTTACTTGTGTTATAACTCCGTCACGGAGTTGGTTATGACTTCGTTACACAAAACCGTTATGTCGAGCTAATATAATGCTAAACTCAATTAGTCGGATCCGTTATATCGCTGTTTTATATAAAATTTGACCCGTTATGTCGACACTTTCGCTGTGTGGCTATATAATTTTTTCTTGGCATTTAACTCGTGTAACGCCTCATTACGATAAATTGCTTGGCAAGTTTCCTGTTCAGCCCTAGTCGATAGTATTGATATATATACTAATCATGATTTTGGTCTATTTACTGCTTGTCGATAATCTTCACGGCAAACATGCGTACGGTTGATCAATAAATACAGTAAACGCATTAGCGCTGCTATTGCACAATGCGATTCCAAGTTGTGGACTTGAGTAAAAAGAAGCCTGATGGCAGTTATCTATTTAAAGATGTTTCGATTTCGTTAAGAGAAAGGGAGATTATTACCATCACTGGTCCAAGTGGAGTGGGGAAGACAACGCTACTGAAATGTATTGCTGAGCTAGTTGTTTTTGAAGAAGGAAAGCTTTATTTAGACGATAAGTCTCCTGAACAGTACGATATTCCTCTTTGGAGAACACGCGTCATGTATGTTCCCCAGCGTCCCGGTAAATATGTAACACTCTACCTCATCTTGACGTTTGTCAATATTTAACATGGCCCATCGTTATTCCAAAGTTATCATGCCTGGCACACCATTTGCATTTCACGAAAAAATTCGATCTTATGCCGCTCTAAAAAAGAACCGCAGTGCTCATGAAGATCCGGTAAGAGAAATTTGTATTAGCTAGTGTTTGTTGCTAACTGTCCTAGTAACCATATTTCGAATACAAATAGATCGAAATATCAGCGAGGTGAGATCATATATGACAACATGCTTTGTTACATCGGTCACATTATTAATTAATCCAACCATAGATGGGGTATAAACGAAGAGCTCTGGCACAGTGATTGGAATCGGCTTTCTGGCGGAGAAATGCAACGAATCATGCTTGCTCTCGCCTTATCCTGTAAACCAGATGTTTTGCTTCTCGATGGTACGTAATTCGTATATTAGGGTTTAACAGCAACTTTAGAGGTTCACCTTAGTTGCGTCTGATACGGAATTAGGTCTTAACCTCCAAGTTTAATACTCATTGTTAATCACTTTCATTACCTATGTGGATAATAATCTAAAGAACCAACATCAGCACTCGATTCTGAGACTTGTTTCTTGGTAGAAGAATCTTTGAAAGAATATGCCTGCATCTGGGTAACACATGACCGAGAACAAGAGAGGCGAGTCGCACACAAAACGTTGCGACTAGAAAAGCAAGACAATGGTCTTGACAATAGAGGAGGTGAAGCTATCATTAACATATAAAGTAGACGTTGCATGTTCAAATATTAAAGAGTCGCAGCTTCTTAGTCAATATAATGAGACTGATGCGGATGGGGATAGTCAACAGGTCAGCATACAAGTTTTTGTCAATAAAGAGTGTTACCAGTCGAGTAAACAATGATAAATTGCGTTCGCCTCATTACCTTCAGTGATGGTTATGCAACCTGCCTTTAAAGCCATCAATATTGGATAGGATAAGCTAATTTATTCAAATGATTAACCGACAAGAATGTACAATTTCGTTTACCACCAAGTATAATCTCTGCTAACAATTATGCCTGTTCCTGTAATAAACTTTTTACAATGACAGAACCGTAAAAAATACTACCGTATTGCGGGACTGTAGGTCTTTGTGTGAGAACTGGATATACGATGCGACAAACAAGCATAGATCAATATTTTAACCAATAAATGAATAAAGTATCAGAATCACGTGAATTTACTATGCTCACACGTTTTGCATTATTATTATTATTATTCCCTAAATGCACGCTCTCACACTTACGGTCCCAAGGGCGTGCATTTAGGGAGAGTTTACTGTATATATAACGCTGAGCCTTGTTGTATACGATCTTTTTCTATAAAACTTTTTAATCAATCCAAAACTACCATCATATTTAATTATGATACTTCCATAATAACTAAATAACCACAAATTACCAAATACAATTAAAATCAAATAGTAGCATTATTTTTATTCTGACCACCCGCGTTGTCACAAGTAATCTTTTCACTTTATTCAATCTCTTAATTCCATCGAATACCATGCTCAGTGTACCGTTTCTTCTTGCAATGACTCTGGTCTGTTTAATGTTGTCAGTCAGTTTTTCAACATTTCTTGCAAGAGAGCAAAGTTTGGTCTGCAAGAAGAAGAAATGAAGAAGAATTTAAACAAATTAGCGCATGTCATTATTTTTAATTTTAAAATATTATGTCCATATTTGCCATACTGCTTGGGTCAGAACACACACAGTAAACTTTCTAGTTTTTCCTCGACATCTGTAATAATTTGTCTCACAGGATGTCACGGATCAAGATTTCGCTGTTGTCTGTTATTGGTGCCTTTTCCAACATTTGTGTCTATATTTATCTTACCTGCGTTTGTGCCATAGTAATAGGATAGGGCTTTGTAGTAGAATTGGCCGGGTTACAGTATCTGCTTTTGGTATTTTTCCAACATACCTCATATTAATATTTACTTCAGTTGTAATATTTGTGCTTCTTCAATATGGTCAATTAAAATGTAATGCTTTTCCCTGCTTTGTCAGAAGAGGAATTAAAAAAATTAATATATTAATCCATTGAACTTGAATTGAATATTGATAATAATAAGAGTTTTCACCAATATACATTATAAGTTTATCCTAGCACCAAACAGTTTAATGATGATGACATTTCGTTTCTGTAAAAGCAATAATAATAAGTTTTTCAGAAAAGGTTTCAAGATAATTATAATTTGAGTAAGTTTGAGAGAAGTTAAAAGAAGTTTAAAGTATATATATACTTATATACTTTTCCGAATACATCATGACATAGACTCGTGCATAAACTTTTGTGGCTTACAGTGTTCAGAAATAGAAACTATTTATATTGGCAGTTACGTAGTTGATCATTGTGCAACAACTATCATAGCAATCAACATGATTAATTATAATACTTCATTCGATAGCTTTCTTTGATTATCCTGTCAATGTCACCAACAATGTGTTACCATTCATCTGCAGCTGAAATGCAATAGATTTATTAATCAAATTTTAATATGGTATTCTTTCTCTGTTGTTTCAATAACGAATTTACACCTGCGCCTCATCGATTTTACTATATGCTTTCTGGAACAGCATCTCATTCCTCTTCATAAATTAGTTAAATTTTTCTAATTTTGCGGCATTTTTTTTTGACGTTTCTTTTAACAATATTCAATAGAATAGAATTTAAATTAGAACTGTTTGCGGGCCAGTCCATAAGATTTGGAACATTTTTACTAAGAAACGTTTGGGCAAGGCGACTGGTGTGCTTAGAAGCATTATCTGTTGAGGCCGCCAGTGCCTGCCCATTAGTCCACGATGTGCTTTTCTAGAATTTCTACATAAACGCTGCGTTCATAATGTTCAAAATTTACGCAATTTCAAGTTTACGCGAATTTTTTGCCAAACAATTTCTTTACACATTGTATTGTGACATAATAATAATCCAGCAAATGATATAGATATAGATATTCTTGACCATTAGTATGATCATTATAAAAAACATGAAAACAAAAACAAAAACGAAAACACTTTTAGCCAATAGAATTGGTTATAATTGCCTCCTAATCAGTTATTAATCACTGGTGTAATCACTCAACAAGCTTTCTTTTCTTGCCTTGTACTGAGTAAGCAGATAAAGCTGCATTAAGTAGGTGTGTTCTGCTCTTCATAAAAGGCTTATGTAATCACTAACTTATTATTATAAAAGTTTTCATGAAGTCTCACGAAATTTTCACATATTATTGTTATTTTCGCAAAAAAAGTTGAACCAAAATTTGTGTGACTGCAGAAATTTGACAGCCATTAATATATAATAAGCATGGTAAAAGGAGGAATTTATCAGTACATGAAAAAATGAAGCATCTTCTGAGTTATGTGTTAGAAAACCATCATTTTACTATTTTTTTTCCAGAACTGTTTCACATGATAACGCAATGATGGGTCTGTTAAGGCCATCGTAATCGGGAAACACTGGTCAAATGCTTTAATGTGAGCATTCTCATGTTTGCCATCAGAAATTTTGACATCTTTATACCCAATTCTAAATTGTGGGTGACATTATTATATTTTCTTGTAACTGGTACTGTGTTTTGTAAGTTTTCAAGAAATCGAGTAACATTGATAGACTGTGAAAGAATAAGCATTAGGTGTAGAAGTATTGGTATTGAAAAGAAACTCCCATGTCAGTGTGACAAAAGTCTACAAATTATGAAAACTTTACTCAAGAAAATTTTAACAGTATGTTTATTATTACTATTATGTAAATATTGTTATTCTCTAATGACAATGATAATAATTAAATTGTAAGTTAATATTAATGTTCCAGATTTACACACAATGCAAACTGTTTTATATCATCAATTCAAGAATCAAGATTTTTTCCTTCTCTCTTATTATTATTTTCGCAAATCTCCTGAAATTTGCAAATACACAGTGACATTCGATATAACAAAGGCCACGGTTCCGACCAGCTTTTCCATTAAAGCGAGAGATCCGTTAAATCGAGTCTTTCAATACCGGATAACAAGCTATGTAGTACTCCGTATATCAAGTAATCGATTGATAAAATATTTTATACAAACACCTATGTTATTAATTTTCGCGAGTCATGTCTGCCTTTCAAACAAATAAAATTGCCGTTATTATTAAAATTATCCAACTTGTCTTATCACGTGACGCAACACTAGTACAATTCCTTCAATTTTAACTGGTGGACGTACATGCAGTAAATAATAATTGTGACAGATTAAAACGAGATCGGATTAAACCGAAATTTTTTCTATTTTAGTATGAAAATTATAAAAATTTTTGGGGGATAATTTTTAGTCTTTTTTGAGGAATTGGGTTAGGATTTAGGATACCATTTGTTAGTAAAAGAGTATATGTGGGTTTCAAGGCATTCAAAGGAAACCCAAAAGACCCCAAAATTTTCGTTTTAATCCGATTTCGTTTTAATCCGCCACAATAATTATTGTATTACATTGTTAGAATCATATGATCAACAGTGTGTCACTAAACATCACATCATACGATATATGTCATCATTAAGTCATACGATATAGCGTAGACATCATCATACGATCAAAACCAACTGTTACTACTGTCTCAGGTTACTCACACAAAAAATATTGAGTAATCAAATAGTAATGAAGAGAATTTAATAGCATCAACAATTAGAAACCCAAAATTGCCCAAGTCCGATGTGAATTTACGTAAGCATAACAACTTTCTTTTCGAATTACGAGAACAATGGTAGATGGGTTGTGTATGTGCACATTTCGAACTATGGTTTTATACAGATGATGTATCATTTCTACTTGAACAACAGATTTATGTTCAATCTCACTTTTTTAGAGTATCCAATTTGGTTGTGTGAATTACGGGTCAGGGATTTTCTTATTTCGGTTAGATCATTTAGTAACGTTACACGATGCTCTCCACATTATGCATTGGCTTGATCGAGTAATTATGCAGAACACAAAAAAAAACAAACTTTCACTCATCGATGGGAGGAAAAAAAAGCTTGTAAAAGTGGACAGACGTCACCGTACGGCTGAAAGATTCTAGACTAAACGTTTGGAACATAAGATTATTTGCGCTGATTGTCAGTGGTTTTTGTCCTTTTGCTGCATGATATACTGTGTGATGTTGCTTTGTCCAATAACTCGATACTAGCGTAAGATTACAAATCATATTTAAAAAATTTTTCCTTTTGTATTGATAACATTTTCTCATGCAAAAAAATAAGTTGAAAGACAATAGCAAATACTCCGGTGTATAGCAACTTAAAATTGGCCACTCTCTATAATGTAATATAATATATTTTGTAGTATGCTGACAGTTTTATATATTGCGAATGTAGAAAACGCAGATTCTATGACAAAAGTAATGAAGGCATGAATAAATTAGCGGGGGGGGCACTAATCGAGTGATAATAGGCCAATGGTTATTTCTGATTTGTGATTGGACGTCGAAGTAAGACAGAGTTATCATTTAAGATATCAATCGAACTTTACCTTATCGTGAACTTGGTTATGCGGAATTCTGGCTGTAGAGACGTAATCGTCAAAGAACCGAATTTCTATAAATAAAGGAAGGTCATTAGCCAAATTTTGGTTTAGATAAACATCATACAATGCATTCCTATTATGGTAAGCGAGAAGATATCGGTGATCAGGATGGTAAATCAGGAGTGGAAACAATAAGTAACAGAGCAAGCAGTCTGTCGAAACGATAGCAAGGACCAGAATATGAGAGGTTTACCATTCAGCCAGTTGGGAATATAAAAATTCGTTAATATTTCATTGTCACATGATGTTGACTGTAGTGAATGCTGAACTAGAGCCTCTCAGACCGGATAGATGACCATTCCGACTGTAATATTTCTTATCTATTTATCTGTCTGCACAGTTACGCTGTATCAATGCTATCATGTAATCAAATAATTGGCGCTTGCAATCTTTTTTTCCTCAGTCTTCAAAATTTATCTTCCCCCCTGTTGTTTATCCAATAGCATGTGAATATTTTGCCATTCATCCAATAAGCACTCCCTAGTCGATCACCATGCGAGATGTGTGCAGTGTCAATCACTCTGACGGATGTCCATATCAGTGCGCCTTACGTGCTACACAGGGGAAACAAGCATTTGAATTTTCAGCGTAGTGGAACGTTGGAAGCTGATAAGCTGTCCGCAGAGAGCGTGTGTGAGAGTGGGAAGGCAGACTGTGGGAGTGTTTGTAAGTTGGTATATTTATGGATATATCGAATTTTATTATCATGGGTTAACAGGTTTTTTTACGATACAGTACTATTTATATGTTAATACTTACCGAATAATCGAATTATTGTCTGTGTTATTGTGCGATTTTCATCTTACATTGTGAACTTGAGGGGTTGATACTGGCAACAGAAATGGCGCAGGATGCAATATTGTTGTATTGCATATGTCATTTGTATCGTAAATTTGTATGAATACTTGTATATAGTTGTATGTGGCTAGCGATATGGTTGTTTGTTATCGATGAGTGATTTAAATGGGGGATAAATACAAACATTAGGAGATTGTACAGATAACAAAACTTGAGGCAAACAACGAGAGTAACAAGGGATTACCCTTTACTATTGTGGGGCAACAAAATGGTTCTGATAAACAGGGAAAACACTCGTAGCGAATACAATACTGGTGTAAAACTGGTATGACTAAATTAATGTGAAGACAATGACGTAAAACTTGGCAAAAATTGAGATGAAACTCGTCGGCTCCATATCTATGATCGTTATCAGCGAGCAAATCAACGAGAAAATTTTTTGAGAGATCGCTTATCCGGAGGTTATTTCCCCGGAGAGAATCTATTGGCTAAGGTTCATGATCATGGAAATTAATCAAGTATCTATAACCGGTGGGCACACGTGAATACGCTATCAATCGCCGACTCTACTCTGAACGTTAAAAATGCTGAATGTATTGGTTATATGCAATCTTGAGGTTGCTAATTTTTCATTTTTCAGGCTGAGCCAATTCATTTTCCTATTCGTTAATCACCATATTACCCAGATCGATACAATACAATGCGTTCTGGCTTTGAACGCATACAAACAAATCCCATGTTTACTGCTGTATGTGGCATACAAAGAAAAGTTTAATGAGTATGGTTTCTAACATTTATGCGTTCCTTTTTATTGTTATAGGACGATTATATGAATAGTCCGTTGTCTAACCTGATTTTGAATTAACGCGGCTGAGACATCAGACAAATTGTGTTGGTGTGCTTGTAAATTGCCCTCTAGCCGAATAAAGGGCATTGAATGGCAATGAATGTCTATTAATAAAAAAACCCTTAATATTATGTTACATATCATCGGCTAATCGTCTGGCCGTTCACATGACATTATTATCAAACAAGATTACCAAATTTAGCTATTGGGCAACGTTATAGTGGGCGTATATTTCTTAAAGAAAACGATCACGTGTAAATAATAAGTATCAGTTTGATGTTAATCACCAATCAATTTGTTATTTGTCTTTTGTTGATAGGATACACGACTATGACATATAGGGGGTTAAAGGTCAATGCGAGGATAAATAAAGTAACGAGGCATTAAATGTAACCATATAGTATAACCATAATAGTAATAATAACGATTATTTTGGAGGAAGACTTTTGTTTTGTGTACAAGCGGGAAATGTTGGCCAATGAGACATAAGCATTGACGAATGTTATCAATTAGATAGATGTATAGTATGGATAGCGATAGCAGCAAACAACACACCTGGACATCTATACATGCGCATTGATATCTGTTCTGTTTGTGCATCTTTAACATTACAGCAATGCTTTTAGCAAATATGTCATTGTTATTATTGTTATTATTAAACATACCCACAGCATAGGCATATACACATAACTTCTGTTTATCTCGAAGTATCTTAATATCGTGGGTATTCCAATTAATTAATTTAATTCGTTGAATGCAAATAATACAAATAAAATGCCGTTCCAAGAATCTCAGAATGAAGACAGAGATAAAGTAAAAAAGGTGTATATATTACACCAGTTTTGAGAAACAAGAAAATAAATTATAACTATAATTTAAATGGCGTGATAAGGGCGCTGCTTAAAGTGTCTAGATGGGCGGGTTTGTGAGATATACTATCAGCGATTGGTGCAAACTATGTCTTTTCATCAGTGTCATTGGCCAACGGTTTATCATGCTATCACAATACCCTATTATTTTTCCTTATCTCTTTTATATCTAGTTAATTTGTTCCCTTATTTATCAATTATTCCCGCAGAATAAACTTCACGACAGAGGGGTCTGTTTGTACAGCATGTGTATTAAAACAAAGGATAGTGGTCGAACTGGCGAGACTTTGGTGAGTGCAAAGCTGTAATGTCTCATCTTGGGATGTGGTGATAGCCGTCATGTTATGGCCTTAATAAAACGCCTTATTTCTGATTTCAGCTTTTCAGATGGAATGCTGGGGTTGGAAATTTTTAATGTGCGCTTATCGTACGATTAAAATCGTACGATAAATTTGTATGCCAATCAAAGCCATTATTAGTCATTCATAACATTTCTGAGACGCAGCAAACGAGTGATCATGATTGGGATAGATAGAATTTATTTTCACGTGACCATATTCAAAAGTTTTCACATGGGAAAAAGAAAACTTTTCCGCATGGTAAAGATAATTAATTCTGTGTGTATGTATAAATATTATATTATCACATTAAAGTTGTGTTTATATCGACATGTTCATTATTGCTTGTGATTGCCTGCACCTAAAAGTCTTACGACGCGCACCAGTTGTTAGTGAGCAAGGACTGAAATGTACTATACCGCTCTTAGTGTTAGGGAGCATGGTGTATGTAATTTTATTGCTAATACAAACGAATGTTTCGGTTGACGGGAAGCAACATTAGTTAATGATAATTTTTCCTCTGCGCAAATCAAAGTATATATACAGGCATTCCAAATTTTCCATTTATTACCCGAAGTGTTATCTGATCCGTATCAGTTGAACCGAGCATGGCTTTTATGCACGCTTTCTGTGGAGGATGGTTTGGGGCGTAGCTGTTATTATTGCTATTATTACTATTGATAAATTTGATTTATATCATGCGATCACAAGTAAATAGCCGCCAATATATGATAAATAAACATATAAACACTGTTGATTATTAATTACAGCACAATGGCATATATTCAGCTGAATTGAATTAACCTATTCTTTTTTCTTTGAATTTTTTTATACATGCATTTATTCATTCTCGACATTGTTCTGTATATATTATATCATATTTATATTGATTATACTATTAAATTATTATATGCAATACAATCGAATCCCTATCTCCTGATTAAAAAAAAAATTAAAATAAAAGCTACCAAGCTGTCCATCGCCCCCGTCCAACACTTCAAAAAGTGTCTCAAAAATTTTTAAAATCAAAACTTTCACCTTTCGCCTATTCACCTTCTGAAACGTCACTTGTAAATATAATATTAATAAGGTGACTCTTAATATACAATCAACTAAAATACACCAACTTACTTGCTCGCGGCTACAGCATACAATTAATCCACTATTGTTATCGCTCAAACAGCCATTTCCAAATCACACTTCACATACAATAACAACTCTTAACGTCAGAGGCGCGTCTCTTATTCCTTCATTCGGAAAAGGAAGCCATTCCTATTATCATACCACTCATACCTGGTAACATTAATATTGTCAACTCTTCTCCCAAGTTCTCGTGCCCAAATCTTTATTGTTCCATAAATACGCTTTCGATTTACAACTCACCCAAAAACCATTTAATTGACGTACGGACGATCTCAGAAACACAAACAACCATACTCACTCTATCAACATGCCATACTCGGCTCCCGACCAAAACCCAATCAACATGCTCGTAACGTCAGAAAGGCACAGAACGAGAAAAGACGTCAGAGATATTCACTCCACATCCCCACTTTCTGTCTCACCACGGCCTCGAAGATCAAATTCAGAAACATGCCCCCCCAAAATCGACCTCAAAGCCTGTATGTCCGTTTTAGAAGCCTGCGAAGATATAATCCGAAAACAAAACGGTGAAATAGTAAAATCTTCCCTAAAAAAAGCAAAGTCGGCTCCAGTCACACCTACCTGTCCCAAGACTGTCCATTTTGATGAGAACGATCTCGAGCATATAAAATGGTTCTTTGAACAAGAGAAACCAAGAGCAGTCAGCGCTGAGGTATCGTCAGAAGAAGAGTTCTCATCCGATGATTCCGAAACTTCTTTGTCAGAAGACGAGGAAGAACTCGAACTCGTTATTTCCTTACCCAACTTTCCGCGCATTACAACAATGCACAGTTCAAAACGAGTTTTTCTGGAAAAGGTTTATCTTTCCCCTGATAGACGCGCACTGATGGGGCGTATTCACGTCCGAAATCTGGCATTTCAAAAATCAGTGTCCGTCAGATATTCTTTCGACTTTTGGCAAACGTATTCGGAGATATCTGCCACATATTCTGAAAAGGCCCCAGATCGCAAGAACAGCAACTTTGATGTATTTGTCTTCTCCATTGAATTCATAGATAATTCTCGTAATCCGATAGACGGCCGTACCATGTACTTTGCCGTCAGGTATAACGTGAATTTAACCGATTACTGGGACAATAACAACGGATCCAACTATCAAGTAGATTTTAAGCGTGTCCAACGAGAGCCCGTCAAGTCAAAATTTCGAAAAAGTGCATACAGAGTGAGTAAGAGTCAGTACAAGACGAAAAAAGAGGCGCCTATTAATGAAGAATTTGCTCGCTCACCCCCATCGGTTGTATCACTTTGTTACACGTCTTCGAATGCAAAGAAGAAGTTTGTCATGAACAGGTATAACATTAATGATTCGTTGTCCGCGGCGATGACCACTTCTAGACCGAAATCGTTACAACCAACACGCTGCGACGGGGATGCAGAAACTCAGAGGCCTGGGGCCTCTCGTCAATTATCATCATATAGCCCTCCAACCATCTCTTACGTTAACAACGAATTGAATAAGGCATTCTTCCCAGTTAACCGTATTGAGCCCAGCGTAGAGTCAAACAACCAATGGGATTTCGGAAAACATGGCAAGATGACAACTTCTACTCCAATCGCCATCCCATCAAAACCAGCAATTGGATCGACATCTTATTTCGAGCTTGTTGAACGATATTGCTTCTTCCAGGGTACACGTACAGGATCATATGCTAATTCCCCCCCAATCGGAGCTTCTTCATAAACAACGATGTATGTACTTGGTGATGGTAATTAATGGTAGAAGGCGGACTTGAGTGATCCGGATAGTAAGCCGGAAAAGTGGCTTGGCTTTGTAAGTCATTCGTTGTATATATTGATGGACATAATTTCCTACTTCTCTGGTCGTATCAAAGTATTGAACAATTACCGCTACAGATGTCGTTCTGTTTACTATGAATTCATACCTCATTGAACAATCGTTTATGTTATTGACATGTTCCTGGGTTGCACGTTATTTATTTACAAGCGATAGTGGTTGAGTATGCACCAATCAAGCGGAGAAAACAACTGTTTCGTTAATTTAAGCTAGAGAACACGTACATGTGGAGAATAAGGAATTGTAAATTTGTTGTGCATATTCCTCTATTTAACACAACTGTAGATTTTATTATGTATTCCCTTTCGTTTACTTTATTTTATTACGGTTGAGTTTTGAGCAGCAAGAAGTAAAAAAAAATATTTTATAATATATTAGTATTCACCCAACATATGTGAATTCTCTCGTTAAGCAAAGACATTCTCTGCAGTTTCAATAAAAGATCATTTTACCATCCCGTGACCTCTAAGACAGTCATTGATAAATTGTTTGATCGCTTTTTGCAGCTTTCCCATTTTATTATGATTAACAAACAGCTTCTTGTTATTTGCTGTTATGATAAGTGACAAGATCGACTGTTGGAATAGGAAAGAACAAGTAATTAACAGTATACTGGGAAAGCAACATTTCGGGTCAGGAGCTGTAGTTTTATAAGCGATCAAGGGTTTGTGATATTAATATATATTATGTCAGTGAAACTTCAAAGCATTTGCTCGTTCCCATACCAAATTACGAGGGGTCAATTGCTGATGTGACTCAAAATTATGAAAATGACTTATTCAATTATTACAGAATAAGAATAACGCGGCAAAACGACGAAAAACGCGAATAAATACTCGATTGTTATCTATTCAATGCAGAGCATGTTCATTTACATAGAAGACCAAGTAATGCTAGAGTTACCCAAGAAATAAAAATTATTTAAAGAGACTGTCAATTACTTCTGAGGAAATTTTATGTGCTACTTGTTGCAGAATGTTTGGAGACATTAATTCGCCAAAGTCAGAGTCGTTCCCATTAAACACAAATTGGCCAAATAGTATAACACTATGAAAATGCCTTCCAATCAGTTATGGAAGCACAGTACAGCATTAAAAAACGGATATTTTTTTATGCGATGTAAACGTATCTCACGCGTTTGTTTTGGGAGATGTAAAATGGAAAATAAAACATGGTAAATTTGAGCGTTGTTTACAACCACGACCCTTAACGTATTTTTTGCTTTATTTACAAACCAATGCCCGCTTCTAAGCAAGAAACGAAACGTCGATGCATATTACATTTGCGAAACGAAGGCACTCGCAATGGTCAAGAAATTTATCGCCGAACAAACATTTCACTTTCTACTATTTATGATAACATAAATTTTTTTAAAAAAAAACAGTAGATTACGCGTGACGACCAATTTGTCCCATGTCCCAAAGATTTGCACAAAAGTTTTGCATGGGGCGGATTTTCAGGAGGATAATGGATGCCAAATTTATGTAAAAAACATATGTCGGAAGTAAATAGTATGCTTGGACGTAGATAGAAATTCCAGCAAGACAACGATCCAAAACACACGAGTCTTTTTGTTATGGGATTTCTGAAAGAAAACGTCCACGGTAGCTATGTACTGACATCGAATAGTCTCGATTTAAATCCGATAAAAAATTGCAAAGAGAACGGATTTCTTATTAAATAAATTTGGTAGTTTTTATCTCTCAAATGACCCATTTTTATAGAAATTGATCAACTCATTGAGTAACAATGACAAAATAAAAATATCCGGGTTTTTTTGTAGCTTTGAATAGAAATAACGACTTTGTTGTTCTTTATCATGTTTACTATGACTTTTCTTACCAATTCTATAATCTGAAAATTCCTTTTCAAAAAAAGAGTTTATACTGTAATTAAATGTTGCAGTTAGTTTTGGCAATAGAACTAGCCTCCAAAAAAAGACAAAATATTTGTATTAACACGCAAGGTCATAGTCTGCATAATTAAAGTATAGTTAACACATAATATCGTTAATAACAATTTGAGTTCGAACTATACGTGCTCCATGCTGAATGAACAAAACTCTTCGGAGGGGAGGGGAGACAAAAACATTATTTTAGAACCAAAAAAATTTTACTTGCTTAAGTAAATGTCAATATTTAGTGTTTTCTCCATTTGCAGTCACCACACTATAAATCCAGTTGGGCGTAGATAATATCGAATTGTGGTATACTGTTTGCGGAATCGCATTCCACTGTTTGAGGGCTGAAAGCTGTGCCACTGCACCGGGAGAAAGTAGATTTATCTGACCATGTGACTTTCTTCCAGTCTCACCCACCCAAGTCAAATGTTCCAATATTCTTTTTTTGGCATTTAAAAAATGCAAGAACGATTGTTTCTTCATGATGTCACGGCGAGCTGTTCTTGCAGAAATTTGTCTTTAGAAATTGTCTTAGTAATTTCTGTCAAATTCCATGCGGCAATGTAAAGAATAAAGTTTTTTGTTATTTTTTTTTTCATCATGATTTCTTAAATAAAACAAACATTTATTTAGGCAAATAATACAGTAGGTGGCACAAATCAGAAATTTCTCATAACTTACGCGACGACCGGAGTTTCTTACTGATAAAACTTTTGCTCAAATATATGCTAAGCTCCACCTGGAAGGAATAAAAACCAACCACGCAAGTGGCATGTAATAGGGGCGATTATAGCGCGGTTGGATAATATAAATCAAGCAAATTAATTCTTTATCCGAATTAGGTTTTGTTTTCCACTCGATAAAATCGCATGATTACCAGAAAGTGCATCGTTAAACGTATAAAGCTAATGGAGAAACCCCTTCATCAACATCCATTAATAATTACAACGATAAGCAGTTTAGACGAGTTAATGAAAATGTATGCATTCTGTAAAGATTTCTCTTTAGCGCAATGACAGGGAGATGGCTTTTGCGGGCGCAGTCTGTATGCGAAGAGAAGATATCTGTTTTACAGACAGCCATGTTTATAAAACAGCATTGTTTATACGAGAAGTAAATTTTCTACTAACAACATAGTCGTTCATAATATAATAAGTAGCATTTGCACAATATTGTTGCATTCGGCAGTCGGAGAGCGACAATCTTTCGCATAGGTATGGACAGGAGGATGTTCTAATCTAGCTTCAGCCCACCGCTCTTGTTTCGATGATTGGTTTTGCGACTGAATCTGAAATTACAAGTGACCTAATTTAATTGTTTAACATGCGATATTCGTATCCAAATAAGGGTACCTATGATATAATAATGACAACAATTATTGGTGCATGTCGACTAATCGGGATAACTCGCTCGCCTATTCTAAAACAAAATAATCGTTTACAATATTATTTATAGACTCACGTTCCGCTATTATATCCGGGAATACAAAATCTATTGCATCTAATGACTTCTGATTACTTGTACCATTGTCACTTCTACTCAAAGAAGGCCCAGCTGTCTTTTTGCTGTTAATTCTATTAATCCGGTCAAGCCATCTAATGTGACTGGTTATGCATGTCAGTTTGAGCCTTTGTTGGTCATCAAGTGAGTCATAGTGACGCATTTCTCTGCGCAAGCGCCATCCGCAGCGCCAATATTTACACGATCTAAATTAGGAACCGCATTTTTGGTGCGAAAATCATACAATTCATGTATTAGTATATGCTTTATAATTAAATGTATAGTTGGTGGTTGGTGTGCTCTTATGGGATGTTTTATGGAAAGAAAGGATGCCGGCCAGGGAAACAATTTTATTTTTTAGCCATCATTACTTCCTTTTTTAGGATCTTGAAAATAAATTGCATTATCTTGCAAGAGATTAATGTGGGACAGAAAACCAGACAAATTATAATGTGAACTGATGTATACGCTAAACAGTAAACTAAATTAACTAATGACATTTTGGTGAGGCTTTGCTTGATTTTATCATGTGCAAATACAGACTACTGTGAAGCTCCTCTAAAGTTGATTTTCCAACCATCTTATTAATTGCCAAGTCCGTTTTATGAAGCAACCCGATATTGTCTGGTGTGCTCATTAAATAAGCAAAAATAGAATCCATTCTGTATATTCTTTTCGCATTCACTTCCAGTTTTTGCCCAACATAATTTCTTCTTACTGTTTATTTTATTTACAAAGATTTTCTAAGTACGTGTAAAGGAATACCCGCTATAACAGATCACAAATAATAAGAGAAAACCAGAACATATATGCATTTTCTCTTTATTATATAATTGACTTGATATCTGAAAACATGTCTGCTAGTATACTATCCCTAATGAACATGCCTCCCAATAATTGCTGATTTTTAACATTATCTCAAGGCACGTTAAATTATTAGGATTTACGATGAATAATAATAATTATTTCGTAGATGATCACTCAAGATGTATTACAAGGACATGTAGCGGTATTAAAAGTATAAAACTGTCTGTTAATAAACCAACCGATATTTTTTAGATGCTCAAAACGCGAATTGTGTCTGTATGCTTAACTACAAAATATGTTCTGTAGTTTGAAAGATACATCAAAAAATATATGCGAACAAAACGAGTATAGTTCAGCATTCAATCGATTATTATAATAATGTGAATAGAATAAACACATTAAGGCGAGAGAATTTTAGCAGCATGAAGTTGATATTGAACAATATGAGCAGTATTAAATTTAATAATCTTGTCAGTGAAAAATAAAGCTGAAATAGCATTCGAGTCATTTACAGTAATGTGTCAAAGTATCCTACCTGATTGTAATTCAGGATAGGAATAATCAAATGCTTTGAGAATTATGTGTAAAAATTTCAGATCAAGGATGCTTACAGCAAATTTTACCAGACATCTATCTGAACCGTTAAGAACATATGAAACCATATAAAACCGTATGACGCTTATTAGGGACATAAACTTTAAAAATCCATATCTCCACATGTTTGTAACCGATTTGTTTTTGTTGTTTTATTTGCTAAATTTTACGTTTGCTATGTTTTTTTTGAATATTAGGAGGGAACAGTTACTATATTTGGCAATAAGCGTGTATGACATCATCGATTATCATCATGTCACATAATAATAAGCAATTCTAGTAGCAATTACGCAGTAACTCGTTCAACAATCATTTAAACGCATGCTGATAGTCTGGGAAAATAATGAAAAAAATAATTACAGAATTCAGTTGGGAAGGGATCGAGATATAAAATTTTGAATTTTTATAGCTAAATTTGAGTATGGGGTATAAATATATCTCGAGTTAAAATATTTGATGTTTGAAACTTTTGCTGTAAGCATCTGATTGATCTGAAACTTTTACACATACTAATTTCCCATACGTATGGTGTATAACAAACCCTGATTATTATTAAAACGTTTGATTACTCCTGTCCTGAATTACAACCAGGTAGGATACATTTGTTATAAAAATTTGCCAGTCGCGAAACGTAGTAAATAGAGAGTACGCCGTTTTTATATAAACTTCACTATATTAAAAATTTTCGATACAGTAAGAAGATAACATGATCTCTGTATCTTAGACTGACCTTACTCCGTGGGTTTCCCGTAACATCCACTTATTAAACATACAAGTAAGGCGCATAAGTAGTTGACCCCTCATAATTTAGTATATGCAAGAGCAAACGCTTTGAAAATGTCAACACATATAACATACCACAAACACTGGTCACCTGTAAAATTTCAGCTCGATCGAATATCACGTGCAAAATTTTAAACATTCAATATGTTACCTCTAAAACATATAAAACATATGAAAACATATTAAAACACCTCGTTTTGCTTATTTGACATAAACTTCAAAAATCTATATCTTTGCAAGTTTCTAATCGATTTGCATAATTTTTTTTTGTTTGCTTTGTCAAATTTATCTCTACGCACTCTTTTGGTGGTTGGACGAATTAAAAAAAAAATCGGCGTTATACGTGGTCATAATAAATATATGTGGTATCAATCTGTATCATGCCCTACAATTATCTGCGTTTTGTAATAGCAATTACGCAATAATTTGTTCAAAAACTTATATGAGTGTGTATTCTGATATTGTAGAAGAACAAATTAAAAAAAAAGTCACTAAATTTGGTTTGAAAAGTGTCGAGATATGAATTTTTAAGTTTTATGACAAAAATCGTGTTCACGCTATGATATATCCAGAGGTAAAATATTGAATGTTTAAAATATTTGCATGTGACATTCAATCGAGCTGAATTTTACAGGTGATCAGTGTTCGTGGTATGTTATATGTGTTGACATTTTCAAAGCAATTTGCTCTTGCATATACTAAATTATGAGGGGTCAACTACTTATGCACTTTAGCTAAACACAGACACTAATAATCCCCAATAGAAGCAGTCCACCTGGACTTGTTTCTCTACATGTAAGATAAAAACAGCGGCTTCAGCGTTGTAACAGTACCTCGTGATAGTAGGCGCACCGGATAGTTCGACAGATTTTTGCGTTCGTATGTTAATCACTAACTACATACTTTTAGTGACCAGCATAGTACTACTTCCACGGACTGAACTTGCCTTTACCTAAGGATGAATGGGCGCGTTTTCATGACGTGACAGACTTGACATGTTAATATAAAAGCCTTGTGCAGCTGTTATAGAATCATCGTCAACGTTTGGAGTCCCAACGAGCATATAACGCAGTTAACATCCTCGGTATGCTTCTGAAGGATTTTCGTCAGAAGCAAATTATACGTGTTTCTGACAAGATATTGTTCTTTAGGACGCTCGTTTAAGGTTTGGCATTACATACAACGTCCTCGCGCTTCCGAACTGGACGCCAATAAAGTAAATTTGATAATGACAAGTATAATATTAAGAATAAGCACACTTGCATCATTTGTTAGATGTAAAGAAGAAAAATTAAAAATTAACGCAATCACAAGTAATCTTCCCGCTTTGAAGAACGACATTACAACCTAAAACCTCTTAGTGCTACAACTTGCGCGTAATGTGAACATTTGGTCGTTTTCCGTGTTAAGTTTTCAAATTACACGGCAAACACGTTTATAACGAAATATTCTAAAAATAAGTATATAAAAAAAACCTATATATGAAACCATTACCCACACGGATGGGAACGAGCCAAAAAGAAAAAGACCACCCCGCAAGTGATAACGCCACCCCTATCTTTTGTCAGAGCGGGTCTTTCCGTTCTTTTTTTCGCGTTGACACAATTACCTTCATTTTGGCTTTACGCAAATTATAGGAGCATGAATGAAACTCACACAGTGTTCGACACCACCTTTCCGAAGCCATCGTCCGAATCGAACGAATTATCGATTTAGTGAGCGTGACAAAGAACCACCATAAGTCTGTTGTGAATAATAACAGAGAAGTTTTCTACAGATGGCTGTTTATACTGAAACTTGACTAATGAGTCGACGAACGGGCTTCTGTTATGAAAAAGCTTTGCCTTCTGGTGCTGAATATATATCCTGATAAGTATAATTGCACTGTAAACATTAATTGCGATGGTGACACCACATCTATACATAGTAATAGTTAGTACATGAATGACTACACCATGGTAACACGTTGTGTTAGAATACGTTATAGTTATAGTTCTTCATTGATGTCGATTTTTATATTTTACAATATGGCGACTAAACGGACGCAATCACAACGGCCTCCAGGTCATCAGTCGACGTCGCAAATATTTGACCCTATATATACTAGTGAACCTGATTCTGATGAATCAGGGGTTTCTACCGAGGAAGAACAAGATCCTACATATGATTACTCGTCAGAAGAGATGGATTACTTAGGAGTCCAAGATGACGACGGGGAGAACGATGCTGCTACAATGGAAGACCTAGAAGAAGAAGTTGTGGACATAGTGGCGGATGAAGATGATAGCGGCCCGCCTGAAAATGAGGACATGAACGGGGCAGAATCAAGCGAATTCGAATGGGACGTGTCAAGATCTCGGAATAGGACGTCTAGAGAATCAAAATCTAAGGTAAATCAGCCGATACAGCAGAAGAATCGGCAACGCGTTGATAGAGCTGAGCTGAATAGAAGAAGTATGTACGTCATCTATGGTCTGTTCATCGTTCTTCAATAAATGTGCTTACGGAAACTACCGTCTGAACCATAGACTAGGTTGGTAATTGCGTTAGAATGTGTTTTCCTTGAATAACCTTTGAAGTTTCCATCGATCTGGCTTTAGTTACAACGACGATGAGTACAGTCCCGGCGACTCCTCTTCATCGACGCCTATCGCCGGCAGTCGAATAATGACAAAACGACAACGGGCCAAATTGAATGAGAATTATCAACCTGACTTGCTTCAACTACCGATGGGTGAGGACGACTTTCGTGTCATGGTTTTGATCTTTCTTTTTCCCTTTGTATAGAAAGCTAACGATCTGATTCTACAAGCAGAATCCACACGGAAAAAACATCTGACGGAAGAGGAGATTGCGTTGCGCAAATCTGAAATAGCACGGAGAAGAAAGCATCAGAGTATACAACGAGCAGAACAAGACAAAGTTGGTTGAGTTTATTGTAATCCCTTTGTCTGTACAAGGTCATTTTGTCATTTATAATTCAATTATCTATTAGATGGACACAATAAATCGTCTGCTAAAAAAGCAAAATACAAAGCGACGTAGTAAAGATCAGGATGATATTGATAACCAAGAAGGACAATCAAATACCGCGCGAAAACTGCCGCCACCACCACCGTTACCGACATCATATCGATATATTAATTCAAAGGAAGGAAGTTTGTTATCTATACCAATAGGCTACGAGTGTCCAATTCCCTTTATCAAAGAAATTAGGTGAATATTTATGCATTAAATTTGCATATGTGCGATTGTAGTATTTGACGGCATATTTCTAACCTCTCGTCCGTGTTATTCTTTAATACATTCCAATATTCCTCAGATATCCGCCACCTATTCCTCCTTGCTCGGTTCCAGGTTGCAGTAATCCAAAGAAATATCGTAGCGCGAAGACACATGAGAATGCATGTTCGATGGAACATTTGAAATTAATTGACGGGAGAACATGAGGACAGAAAGTGCCAGGATGTTGTTGGCTTGTCAACAATGTTCGAAAGGGTCAATATAGCATAATGTTTTTTTTTTCTCCCTTCTTCACGATTACAGTCAGCTATTCTGGCAATAAAATGAAAACCATTACTAAATGGCTATAAACTTTCAATTGCTATTAAAATTGATCCACGAGCGAGTTGTGGACCGAGGACATTTTATGAGAGACAATATTCTCCAGCGAGAAAAGATAGGTAATCGCACAAACATTGGGGGTTTGCAATTAGTCTCTTGTGAAAAGTGGACTGATAACATGATTGTCAACAATTGTACAAATTCTGTTCAATGACTGATATGACAATAAGGTGGATTAACGTAATTGGCACACGAGATAAGTTTGGATATGACAAGACTGGCTTATCTATATCCTTACATTACTTAATTTCTGTATTTATTGCATATTTAGATTGACGTATTATGTAACTTAACTTGGTTCATGCAGGGTCTTGATGTGATTATCACTGTTTCTTCTGTTGAATAGCAACTAATTCTATGGCCAGCACACCCAATAACTCATCAAACTTGCTCAAGTCAGGGCGATTGCCATCTAATCGAAATTGTTGTGCATCCGTGATTCCTTCGCGTTCTAGTGCAGTTATCATTTGACCGCGATCGTTACCTTTAAGAAAACTGACAAAGAATACTTGAGCATGCGGCACAATCTCCTCACGATACTTTTTAAAGAGAGAAGCAAAGCTATAGGAATGGGAGCGTGTATTCTCTTCCTCGTCCGTAACAACGATGAACACCTGAATGTAGATATAGTAACGTTAGAGCCCATTATGTGACAAAATTTGCAGAAACGAATTTATTGGCAAACTTACATCAACGTGCTTGTGTTCTTCGTAATAAGGATATAATGTGGCAGCCGGTGAGGTAGATCCGTTAGCGCGAATAGTCTCGGTCACTGTAATCACGTCTGCCGCGCCCCTTGGGATTAGTGGTGGATGAACGATTCCACTGTTGAAGAACGTCAGATCCGCCTTTAAGTATACCGATAGCAACGATCCGATAATTGTAGCAACCTGTACGGCAACTCCCATGGATGACGAACAGTCTCCGAACACGGCTACTGAATGTTGCTCCCCCTCAGGTAGTTCGATTGTTGCTAACTTCTCTTCCGCGTAATCCATCAGTTGACCGACAAACGGCAAATTCAGTTTTCGGAATGTAAGGATTCTTTCCATCAATTTTGAATAATTAGCTCTCCCATGAACGGACATCAATGGTTCGCGATTAAGTAAACGCGTAGTAATCGCTGTATTAGCTTCTGCACAGCATAGTTCTTCGTAGAACCACAAGACGTCTTCCAGAGGCGCGCGTTGAACTAGAATGGTCTTATGAGTGTCATTTAGTACAATGTCGTTATTTTTGACTTTTTGCCTAATATAAGAATAACATTCTGTTAAATATGGATGAGCTACAAGGACATTCTCGAGATTTTCGGTTGTTATGTTTGTGTATGCGGCAATGGAAGAGTCGGGTGGTGCCTCGGCACCATAAATCATCGGAAGGAAATATGGTGCTTGAAAGTCACTGGCACGGAGGTGCACCAAATCAGCCAATTCCTTCCAGGGTTCTTTAGTAAAATTAAGCAGGAAAAAGTCTAATCGATGCTGAGGAAATGATTTACACCACTTGCGTATTCTCCTCGCAAATGAACTGGTCAAATTAGATGAATGACTTTCCTGGCTGGAATTGTTGATTTCTTGTTGAATTCTAGCTTTTGTAGTTGCGCGAACGTTGAATCCTTTTGCTGTGTAGTAATCGAGCTTCTTTTGCCATTGTCTGGCTTTTCGGGGCGCATCTAGTAACTGCACCGTCTTGAACACCTCAGCTGGGACCATTGTGGTAAGGAATTCGTCAACAATAGCGTAATTCTTAGTTGCCCATAATGCAACAACAGTACGAGCTTTAGTTCCTACAGAAAGAGCGACATTATGATCGGATAAGGAATAAATAGCGGCCTTGTACGAAGAAGCACCATATTCGTTAACAAGGTCTATATGCTGTTGTGTCGTAAAATTAGGATTGAGAATTTTGGAACGAATGTGTTGCACAGTCGTGAAGCTTTCGGCATCGATTGGATTACCCATAGTTAGCTTAGAATAAGGCTTGATGAACAGGAGGAAAGTTTCATGGACGGGCTTTATATGAGTAATGAATTTAATTTACTGCGCTTCCTTTATTAGTCACACAAGCAAAGTTCTCACTGCGCTCGCTTTGCTCACTGCGGAGTAGTATGTAATGTACTGCGTCTATAATTCGTGAGCGCAGTTGACTACTTTATCTACATATCCGGCCACCCAATGTGCCTCTCAAATACTATTTTGTACTCCTCCCAAGACGCATTCCATATCCAATGCCTTGCTTCTAACCAGAACCAGAACTTTAACCACCAACCTCCTCCACTAGGAATCTCCTTTATTCCTTCCCTAACTCCTCTTCCTGCGCCTTGTGTACCCAGTTCTCTAAGAATAGGAAGAGCACTTTTGAGTAAATCCATTTCAGGATCTAATTGTTTGCCAATACCTTCAAGTAATAAAATGGCAATCACTATGTTAACGAAATCACCATCGAGTTTGACGTGATGAGTTCTGACCATCTGCATTACTTCTGTTAAGACATCGGAAATTCTTATTTTGGCTAATTGAAATGTTGATGACTTGACGTTTAATATTAAGTGTTGCATTTTTAGCGCAAATACGTCCCCATCTATAACCGTGTCCGGTGCATTGCTGCGTTCAATCATCAATTTACCCGCACGATATCCGTCAAATTCAGCAACGGCTCGAAATAAATCCAAGAAATTACGACGATTCACTTCATTCAACTCTGATACTAGTCCAGTGTCTACGAACACTATTTGCGGACGATATCCATCATTGTAGAGTCGGTTGAGTTCTTGAATCCACATATCGCGGTCGTCAGCGTATTGTCTCAATCGTGTTGTTGTCGTGAAACAAGTTTCATCGAAGGGTGTCGTGGATGTAAACTTTGCCCAAATATCTTGTAATAATGTGTATATTGTAGGCTTCGTAAATTTGATCATAATATTACCCGGGTGCAAATCTGCGTGAACAAAGTTGTCGATAATCAACATGTGCTGTTGAATAGGGTGATTATTTGTTAATAAATAGAACTTGTATTACAAGAATTACTCGAGGGTCGTAAAGGAGACGTACTAGAAAAGCGTCAAGTCCTAATAGATGATGTTTAAAAAGCACGTCAATTTGGCAGTCCAATATCTTGTTTGCCATACTCCGATATACTGTGTATTCAACTCACCTATATCAGCAAGCATACGATCGAACACTCCACCACCATTACGAAGAAACAGCCTAATCGGCAGTGCACCTTCATAGTCTTCAATTAGCATTGCTTCAGTCGTATATTCCATTAACGGCTGCGGGAACTTTATCAGTTTACGATACTTGAAATTTTCCCGAAAACGGACGAGATTATTTCCTTCTATACGGAGATCAAGCTGATCTTGCATCATTTCTCCAAACTTCATGACCTCTTCAGGCAACGACAGCCAATGGATAGTTGGTATTGCATCGAGTATTTTGGCAAATATAAGTAAGATTTTGAGGTCTCTTTTTATTTGTTTGTCGACGTTCGGGTGTAAAATTTTTACTGCAATTTCGGCAGAGATATATTCTGGGTAGGAATCGAGGGAGTTTACGGTGGATATGTGCATGAGTTCGGGTTTTAGTGTTGCTTTGTATACTTGGGCAATCGCTCCAACACCAATCGGGTTAGGATCAAAGCATGTAAATATATCCTCGAAAGGTAGGTTGAAATTGTCGGATATGATTTGTTTGGTAACAGAAAGTGAATGTGGCTTAACAGAGGAGTGTAATTTGGAGAGACGAGCACACATTTCTTCCGGGAAAATGTCTGTTCTAGAAGCTGCCCATTGGGCCAACTGGAAAGGAAGACAAGAGCGCGTTGTTAGAGTACGTTTTACATACATTTAACTTAAGCACATTTATTGTCTCATGTGAAACGTATTTAAACATCTGCCTAACGTTCGTTTATCGTGCTCAATACATGTTACGTATTCGTTCCGAGTTGATATACCTTTATGAAAGTAGGTCCAGCGGTTTCCATCTGTCTAACTAACAGATCATACCACCATAACGCTCCTGATCGCTCATTTCCATGCTTTTCAACTCTTTCCCCAATAAACAGTGCCGGAGTCGTCAAGATCACAGGCAAGAATAATAATGTTAAGTAAGAAAATCTCCATCCAACTAAGATAGGCTCTATTACGTAGTCAGATAGGAATGAAACAATAGCAGATAACAGTCGCGGAGTTTCTGAACGCGCGTGAACAGAAGATTGATTAATAGGTGATAGACGAATTGTATTTTTTGGTATATCAAATTCCGTAAGGGCTAGCGTGAAATTATGACGGCAGAAAGAAAGCGGGAGGGTGATAAATGCTATACGGGGAAGTAGTGGTCGCCATGTCGGTGGCCTTCTATATTTCAAATAGGACAATGATCTATTATTTTGTCTTGCAAACAGTATAATTCTGTTGCAGCGCGTATGTATCGACAGACCTCTTGAAAATGCGTGAAGTAGAGGTTGTCCGATATACATAGTCTAGGATTGACCGTTGGGATGGGAAAATAAATAGGGTGAGTTACACGAATCAACCGAAACAGAAAGAAAAGTTTGGATCACGTGGAATGTAAAGTGTGTTTAAATTTACTCTGGCAAGAAAGAATTTTCATATTTGACATCATGGTTCTTTAACTCTAGATCAATATAATGTTTGCTCTTTTACTTCAAAAGCCCATATTTGAGCAAGTTTCTTGTCAATTCGCGTATTTTTTTTCTCTGTATGTCTTTATGATGGCCATATAAAAAAGTCTTGTACATGTTATACAGACCTATACACTCACTTTGGCGCGAGCCATTCAAACAATAGCGGGAAAATATTCGACTCTGCATTTTATAATTACCGGATGCCCGTGTTATATACTATAGTACAAATCACAAAATTTGCTGATAACAAGCCGAATAAGCAAAGCAATATCTTTTCATGAGCTTTATTATAATGCGCGCTTTATGTGCGTAATGCGTTTTTTACCAATTACATATCGGAGATTTACAGTGAATATACGTTAACGATCTCATTGTGGTTGTTCCTAAAAAGATCAAGGCCGCGTAATAGAGTTAATTAGGGTATAAAACTACATTCATAGTAACATTCTCTCGTACCTGCTCGACGAAATTCAAAGCGTCTTCTTTCGTGATGCAATTAACGCGTGATACCTTGTTAGAGAATGTCACGCCATAAAATTTGTCCGCATTCGCCAACATCTCGGGTCGAAACGTAGTGGTAATAAACTGGCCATTTTCACTTAATTCATGTATCATTGCTGATAGAAAGAATGTCTGATATTTCAGAAACTGTTCGTGCTGTAAATAACTATCATTGGCAGCATTACTTACAGGCAACGGCTGTTCGATATTGAGCATCAAGCGCGGCATCAATTTCATCGAACAGATAAAACGGCGCTGGATCACATTGTTGTATTGCAAATATAAGTGTGAGGGCAACCAGAGATTTCTGTCCACCTGATAGTTGTTGCATTCGTAGGCCCTCGTCAGTCTTGCTGTTAAAAGAGACCTAGAAGGAAATCACAGCAACACTGTCAGAGACATTAAAACAGTTTCAGAAAACATAAACCGTCTTGAAAACATGTACCTTAATTGCAACACCTGTATAGTTATCTACTGAGCTTCCTTCGTTTTCATTAAATTCTTCGTCTTCGTCCTCATCCCCATCCTAAATTTGCGAGAGGCGGTCAGATGAACGACCAAGCATCAGTTTTTTTTATTCACCAGCATCATAAGCCTACCCTATCAATATGTCTCAGCATAATTAGTTGACCTCGCCCGGCAGGAACTAGTTTCTCGAAGACTTCAGAGAAATATTTGGCAACTTGTTTAAACGTACGTTCAATCGCTTCGTCTTTCCGTTGGTCGAGGACGTCTATTAAATCAGCAATAGACTTAAAACACAAACCGTAAGTAAATATAAATTTCCTTCTACGAGCACGTCATTTAACTCACTCTTTTAGACTGATCCAATTCTATTTTTCGTTTTGATAGCGTGTCTCTTTGCTTGGTAAAATTGTTATACTGTTCGAAGGCTTTTTTATTGACGTGATTGTACTTCTTCAAGCCCTCTCGAACTTTGTGTAACATCCTTAAAAGCTACAGATATAAACTCATCAGTGAGAATTTCGAACCAAAAAAGCCTCATCTCAGACTAACCTTGGTCAAGTCAGTGCTAGTATACTTCTCAAAAGCTGCATCAGGCAATGCACCAAGTTCGCGAATGTTCTTCTGGCATTCCTCTTTCTTCTTAAGCAATAAGCTTCTTTTCGACAAAAATTTCTCCATTACTTTTTGATGCCTTTCCATTTCTTGTTGCCAAATCTCTTGATCCGCTTTAGCTTTTTCAAGTTCCTCGTTCTTATCGGTTAAATCCGTAGATAACTTGCGCAGAGTTTTCTCAATTTCTTCGGCACGATTATTAATATTCTGAATTGTCTTTTCCAACTCCTTCTTGTTGACTGATAAACGAGCATCTTCATTAGTTGTAAGACTTTCTATCTGCGTAACAAACTCATCTCTACGTCGTTTAAGATTTGCGTTGAGTTCATTTTCGAGCACGTTCTTTCTTATTTCCAACTGCGATCTTGTGGTTGATGATCTTGCTAGACGTTCCCGTAAGTCTTCAATCGACGCGTTCAATTCTGCAAGTTGCTGCCCTTCTTGTGGTGTTAACTGCTGAGCAAGCTCTGTTCCCATTTCCATTTGATGGGCTTGATATTGAGCGGTAAGCATTCTGATATCAGTTTGCACATTTTGTAAAGATTTCTCCTTGTTGGCTTTTGATTCTCGTAAACTAGCCTCTTCTTTTATCTTTGAATTAATTTCGAATATGAGCGGATCACGGCTGTCTTGTGCTTGCCTTCGCCTCGCTTCAATCAACTGCATCTGACCCAGGACACGGGTAATGCTTTGATCAAGACGTGTAATATCACTCTTTATTGCATTGACCCGACCTTCCAGTTCTTCACATTCGCTTCTGTATCTCTTATAGTTTGAGGAAGCTTCCAATCTTCTCCGTCTAACATCATGATATCCACCGCTTAAGGCGCCCTTACGATCTACACGGTCACCACTCATTGTGATGCAATTCAAGCCATGACTCCTCGCGAACGTTGCACAGATTTCGAGGTTAGAGCATATGATTGTTCGGCTAAAAACTTGTTGGAAAGCCTTAGCATACTCATCATCGAACTTTATTACTTCTAACATGGGTTTGACATCGTCATCAGCCGGGTATTCGCATGGTTTCGGATGTAGACGATTTAAAGGCATGAAAGTGACGCGACCATTTGATGCCTCATTGAGAGCTTTCAAGACTTTCGTAGCAGTCTCATCGGTGTCGACTACTACATGAAATAAGCTGTTTAAGCGTAAATAGCATGCGAGACTACGGAGTTGTAGAGCTAAACAAGATAACAAGATAACCACAATTAATACACACCTTTGACCAGCAGTTACCTCTACAGCAGTCCAGTAGGAATCACTTACGCATTCAAATAACTCAAACAAAGGTCCATATACCCCCTTAAGTTTGTAACGTTCAGTTATCTTCTTCACAAGAGCCAAACCTGCACTAGTATTCTGAAAATGTAATCGATATAAGCGAATGTCTCACAAGAGATATCAGTTGAAATCATAGACATTTACCTTGTCCATAGATCCCATTAAAGACCTTTCACTCTTCCGCAACAGCTCACGTGTGTTACTCAACTTAGTATCAAGCTGTGCGTCCTCTCGCCATCGTTCTCTGATATAATTACATATAAAAATCCAATTATGCAAAAATTGCAGCATTTTCTGGATAAAAGCAATTGAAACCTAGTCGTAATGAATCTTCGTTTTTAAAAAAGTATTTACGAACTTTCTTTCGTCTGTAAGCTTGTCCCTCTTTGCTTTTAATTCATTAAGGTCAGTATTCATTTGCTCAAGACTCTTTTTACGTTGTTCTAGCTGTTCCCTCTTGTTCTGTATTTCGACTTCGGTCGTTTCGATGGTGCGCTTAATATTTTCTATTTCATGTTCTAAATCACTAGCCTAGTTAAGTAAAAGGCTGATTAATAGTGACCAAAAAAAGATAATGTAACGCATTCAATATGCCATATTAATGTACTTGTTTTTGTTGTACGGTAATTGTACGTTTAATTTCAGTCATTTCTTCCTGAAGCCATCCATCGCGCTCAGCTCGCGTGCGGAATTGAATGCTTCTTCCTTGTTTTGCATACAGGGCTTGTCTTCGGAGCTCCGCTTGCTCTAGACTATACTTATACAATGTCAATTATATTCTAAGACACAGGCATAAGACTAAATTATTTAAACAAATCATTACATATACCTCTCGTTAAGTTGAGCTTCTTGATGCAATTCCCTTTCATAATTCGGCAAAACTTCATTTAGCTCCGATTCTTTGCGTTTTATATCAACTTCAACAGACCGCAATTCCGCCTCTCGTTTTCTCTTCGAATATAACACATGTCAGTCACCTAAAAACAATAATCCTGTAATTTATTCTCAACATACCTTCAGCTTATGATTTTGGGATGTCGTCTCTTCAAGATCTTTGATTTCTAGTTCAATTTGAGCATAGACTTTTATATGATCTCTTTTATCATCATCGAGTTGCTCTTTTTCTATTTTGAGAAATTCGATATTTTCCTGCAACTCATGAATCTGACTTTCTATTTCCTTTCAATTACGTGCAATTAGCAATGCATCTTGTAGCTAACGAATGTCATTGTAGCTACTTACTGTTATTGACCGATGTTGCTGGTCGTATTCTTTATTCTGTTCGTCCGACCCACGAACATCTTTTTCCCGAGCTTCATCCATCTTTATCAGACAATTGATCAAGTAGAGAAGCAACATACTAATATGATAATCTATTGATTTATACGTCGAACAAAAATTTTCATAAAGCTTACCTCTTGTAGTTGCTGCAAAAGATCCGTCTGTTCACGGTGATAAATTGTATATTCTAAGCATCGGCGCTCACGGTCCATGTCTTGGAAATTTTTTAGTTCTTCCTTTTCTTCTTCTAACTCTTCGAGTCGCTCCTCGATGTAGCTTAGGAGCTCTTCGATTTTAGATCTCTTCGAATCTATATAAAAACATCTCGTATCATGGCGGGAACGTATTATACGCCAATTAACTAAATAATAACAATTATGCAGAACATTACCAGTCTCTTCCATGATTTTCATACTTTCTTGCCTTCTTTGTTCATAGACCCTTGTACCAGCGACTTCTTTTAACAAATGGAGTCGCTCATGGTCTTTAGCATTTGTCAGTGCAGTGATCTGTTATTGGATAAGAAATTTGTGCACGTCAAAATCGTATGAGTGGACAAGCAAATAATCTTTCGAAAATGCTGATTTTACTCTACCCGACCCTGTGGAACAATGTAATAAGGATTCGAACGCGAAAACCCGGCGCTCTCCAGCAGATTCATCACATCGGCTTTCCTATAAGACGCAAACAATCATAAGTATACTATTGTGTCTTCATACCTTTTAGTTTCATAACATACGTTGCACTCTTCTTGTCCAATGAATATTCGTCCTTCTTTAAACCAATAGTACGTCGTAAAACCACTTCATCCTTTCCAGTCTGTTTGAACAAAAGTTAGGGCAACCAAAACGAATCAAAGTCAAAATCATTCTTCCAGACAATTAATAAAAAAGCAATTAACCGGAAATCGATTGTCGCTGTTATCGAATATAATCTCCACATAAGCCGACATTGTTGCGGGACCAGTGCCTTCCTAGTAGATGACCACAAAACAGTGTTGTCAGCGTCATCAGATAACATGGAATATAATAACTTCAGAACAATAATGAACACAAATTATATGAATTATAAAATTAAAACGGCCGTAATACGACAAAGACCCACATGAAGAAGAGCCTGGCGTTCTTCGCGTCCCATATTTGTATAGGCATCGCTTAAAACAAATCTAATTGCTATATCAGCAGAAGCGTTCAAGATGTGTTAAGTCAAGCTGAAAAAGGCGCACTAAATTTTACCAACAAGAAAGAAACACGATATAGAGCTTTACCTGCGAAAAAATTACTTTTTCCTGAACCATTTCTTCCAACTTCATCGTGAAATTTAGAGAGTAATGTTTAATATGAGGATGCTGACGAACATATAATAGCTCAAACAAAAATAGCAAATCCTGGTAACAAACCTATCACGTTGTGCCTCGGACTGAATGGTTCGATGATTGTCTGCTCTTTATACGATTTGAAACCTTGAATTATGATCTTCGGAACAAAAGGTTGGTCTCGTTTCCTGAAGACACTTCTAGCTAAAACTTAAATGTTTAGAAATACCTGCTTGATGAACATTGTCTTTACTGTAATGAGTGCTCTTCGTAATATGCGCGTCCTCGGTCACGCGTTCGGGAATTGTTCGCTCAGAGTAACTCTCTAACTACCCCGCGCACTAAATGTTGAATATATTAATTAATATTAATACGAGTGGTGCAACAACAATGTAAATTGTGACGTCACGGATTTGCTTCGTGTCTCTGACTTTGATATCTGTTCAAGCTAAACGACGTTATCAAAATTACCCCTGTATTTTAACGGGAAAAGGCAAATGATAAGGCGTCCGGGACCATATCGCCAAGGGAGTTCTGGAGAACTACTTAGTTTCATATAGTATGTAAAAGCATAACATTTCATAATAATACGATATTCAAACATACCAAGCTGTCCATCTGTCGTTCATTATCTTGACGCTTTCTCGTAGAAAACATATTTGGCAAAAATACAGGAGTATTTGTCAGGATGAATACTCGCCGTTCGTCTTGCAAACGTGTCGATAATGTTTCCCTTGTTATCGAAACTGTTTGTCTATCATCTTGTTCACGCTTTTGCATTGCTTGTTTAACGTTTTCATAAATGACTTCAAGCATATCAATCAGGTTGCTAAGCATTTATTGAAGTGCTCTTAAATTATGTAAATGCTGGCTGTACAGAAATGAGCAAGTTAATTTGTCCACTTTTTTTCCACTGTATGTCATAGATAAAGCAATGTGAATGATTCAAACGGGTCGACATTAGCTTCTTTTACAACTACGTAGTAACCCTGATTTGGATACTTAATACATATCTAGTGCTCAATTCTTTCAAGGAAAATGTGCTTCTCTGTTTACGTCCACGGCAAGTCACTAGCGCTTAGTATACTTGTCTACTTTCACACGGGTCGATGAAAATGATGGCGTATTCCTCATTGTAAAATGTACGCGATTGTGACATTAGGTTGTTAGCTAGACCAATACTTACATTGATAACGATGGACTAGTTATCGATGCTAAAATAGATCAATTAGCATGTTGATCGAAAACGATTCCTTTATTATATTCTTTGTATCTTATCAATAAACGAGTATCCATTTAATCTGAATTTATACTTTCATAATCTACTCCCCGAATATTATCGTAAATCACTAATTCAGTATAGCGGATAAGCTGGCAATTGCGATAGTTAATTATTTCTTTTCAACGCCTTAACTTGTTGACCCCACCGATAGAACATCTCAAATTGTCCAATACTTTTGAGCTTGGTATGATATTATTATACAGTGAAACCGGATATAACGAAGGAGACCGTGCAGACACTTTTCTTCGTTATATCGAGGGATTCGTTATATCCAGGAAATTTTACTAGACAAAATTCGAAACATCAAAAAAAGCATCGTTATATCCAAGTTTTCGTTATATCCAAACTTCGTTATATCCAGGTTCACTGTGTATTCCCACTTTAAGATTCTTCCAAAATCTAGCGCACTCCCAGATCATGGTGCATTATTAAAATGACTACCATTTCTCGTCCAATATGTATATTGCAGCTTAAACACGAATACATGTTTGGAGTACATATCTTTGTGAGTGACTAAGGTTGCAAATTTTTATTATTAGTATTAACATGCAGCATGCCTTTTACACTTAAGGCCACCTTTGCAACTGGTTTTGTAGTGAAACATCCGAGATTTGCTCTTGCTACATTATCTATTCCCAATCGGCATTCTGGTGCTCCCAAGAGCATCGTGCATTATGACATTAGGAGTCAAAAGTGACATTAATAATTTATTAGTTTTGAAGATGAACAAATTACTTTAAGCTAAATGGCCCCGAATAATACGCCAGAATAACCTGCTTGGCTGGTTAAGAAGTAAAACGGATCTCCAGCCCGAATTTCTCCAATTTGGTCAATCGTTACCGTATTAGTAACTATGGCCATAACACATTAACGTCAATGCTGGTACTTTTTCTGAGAGAAAAGGTCATTCGAAACGGTAAACAACTAATGGCGTCACGTGTGCTCGTCCCTAAATCCAAAAATTCTGGGAAACTTACCCGCAGGCCATCGCTTGGTAAACAACTTTATTACATGAATTGATACCGTCGCGCAAGGTTTAGACTCATATTATACTAACTGAAAATCGTCATATTTCGCTCGCTGTTCTAGTTTTCAACAAAATCTTCACACGAAATGCCGTTATTATTATATAGCGTCCGTTGATTTTCTATCACATGACATGCTATGTTAATTCTACCGGCAGACTACGTTTTCGTTTCGATCATTTGAAAAGAACTATAATAATACACAGTGAACCTGGATATAACAAAGTGGTCCGTTCCGACCTTTTTCATTATATCCAGGTTTCCTCTTTATAAGGAAGTCCTATTCAATTTCATTATAGTTTCGTTTAAAGCAGGTCATTTTGTGTTATGATATAGTCAATTATTTCATTGAAGAAGTTTCATTTGACAAATTTCTTTTTCTGCAATCCTGTTAATGAGGTTCTAATGCGTTTAGGTATCCCTGTTTGTATTAAAATTTTTGACAGAAGTTCTCTTGCGTGGCATGGTAATAATTAAGAGGTTGGCTGAGTTATGGCTGCATTATTAGTAATATATACAAATAATCACTTGACTTCGCCGGTATAAAGTAAAAATTTTTATATAATTTAAAGTAAACTGGTCAACATGACTTGTGCCGGAGCTGAGTTAAGATCTGCCGTTATAAAGGGTAATTAATATGGAATTTTTTGGTTCTGCGAAATTGGACCGGTATAGAGGCAAAACCGGTATATGCAAGGCCGGTATAAAGAGAGTTGACTGTTAGTTTTCGTTCGTTATAGTGGAGGGATAATAATTATAGTCAGATTAGAGCGAAAAAAGTTTTTCTTCTTTGTTATGGAGTAACAGACAGTTGATGCGGATCTCTCACACTCTAGGGATAGAAGTGGCCAAAAAAGCATGTTGCCTTGACTGGGGCAAAATATGTAATTGATAAAAAATAATAAAGCAAGGACTTATTACTTGTTATAAAGAACTAAGAGAACTACGATAATGCGAGATTCTATTATTTTAGACAATGTGTGATATTGTTTGTTAATAATAAAAGATAATAATGCGAAATTATTTTTTTCAGAAAAAAGGAATTATGTGAAAAAAAGAAACTTCCCCTCAATAAAAGGCCGAGAACTAGCGGAAGACTTTGGAATTAGTGAGCAAGCTCAAAAGGTCTTCACATTGGCTAAGCTTGAACTAGCTGCCAGATTCATCGAAAAAGCACCATTCCCGTAATCGAAGCGCCAGTCTAGCATTATCCAATACTTTCAGTAAATTTTGCGGTCATTTATCAGCTTAAAAACTTTTACTGCTTTTCCTTAATACGAAATGAACTGTTTTTTTAAATTTGCTATAGTGTATGTCACATGATATATTATTAAAAGACACTATATGGTGAGATTTCTTTTTTGTGTATAGCTCGTTATAGTGCAGAAAACTGTTGGATTTTGCGTTTCTACTATAAAGAGAGCCACTGTGTACATATTTTACATTAATGGGAAAGATTGCCGAATTATAACAAAGTTTACTATAATATAATGAAGTTTACTATAATATAATGAACTTCGTTTATTAGCCAACTGATTTAAAACTTCGTTATAGCCAGTAACCAGGTTTTCTTAATTAACTTCGTTATATTCAGGAAATGCTGTTTTGGGACATCGGAAAAACTTTGTTATAGTCGAAATTCGGTTTATCCAGGTTTCGTTAAACCCAGGTTCACTGTATCGACAAATAACTTAACGCAATATATGAGACATAAAGAGATAGAGCAGACTTCCTTCAAATATAAAAGAGCCACCTTATGGCCTTATTGAGTTAATGCTGGCGTTTAAGCAAGACCATGCCTACAGAAGCTCCGGTCAAAGGCTGAACAATGACATTATAGAAAGATTGCTTATAATACTGGTCAAACATCTCAACATATTTATTGTTGAAGCATAGAAAGAAATCTATTCAAGAGCAGTTAATATAGGCTATTAAAATTTCCCCCCAAATAACGCGGCATGGTTGCACATCGGTCTTCGTCGTCGAATACTAGCTTTCGTTTGGGCTGTAAATAATATACGTTTAGGATGAGAAAGGTTTGGGATAACTATGAACAATATTGCAAAAATTACCCTTTTCGACTTATGATCAATTTCGTCTAGTAAAGGTAATGCTTGTGATACGCTACAACGATGTGCAACATTCCTTGATGGCAGTATGTTAGTCGATAATCTTTGCTTGTATAGTAATGGAAAGCTAATTTACCTCGTAATATTAGTATTGGTTTCAGTAACTTCCATGTTATTCGAGTATAGGTCTGTCGCAGTGACATTGCTAGCTGTTTCAATTTAAAATTTATTATTAAGTCAAGACACTTACGGTCGCCTCCGGTAAAATATTATTAATCGTAATTGGTTAAGGAGTTTAATCAAACTTACCAGCCTGAAAATTCGTTGATTGTAACTTTTCCAACAGCTGTTTAGCAGACTTTGTAAATATTTTGCGTACAAGGGTCGAACTAGAAAGCTATTTCTAGTCATAGATGACTTGCTTACCGTTATCAACAGGTGACGGTTCTTCGTCAATTCTGTAATAATTTCTTGTAAAGACACGTTTTTTGTGGATACGATTTCTCTATACAGCTTTTGGTACTGTTCATTTACTATTTTTTCAAAGCACTCTTGCAATTTCACAACCATGTCAGCCATAATACTATCCTGCAGAATGTCTTTCAGTTGCTCCTTTGCTATATCAGCTATAAAATGTTTCGTTGTTATTTATAATATTCATTCTTAAATTAAATACAAAATCTTGTCAACACACTTGCGCGACTGAAAGCTTCTTCGTATGAATAATTTTCTATGGTTGAATGAGGCGTAACGTTGGGTTTAGATGCTACTTTACAGAGCTGTCCTTTAGCATCTATATCGGCATTACTACTACTTTTGTAGTTTTGACATTCGTTAGCCTTCACGTTTATCTGCTCCAATAAGCTCTCAATGCGGTCTAGTTTCTTCGAGAGTGTTGTGAAGGGCTTTTCAACAGAGGTTACTAATTCGCGCTTAAAATTATGTTCCTCTTGGTCACACGCGGTGCGGGTATTATCAGAAAATATGCTCGCGTTCTTGTTTTTGTTAAGCATATCCACAAATCGAGGCCGCGCCATGTAAGCAGTTAAGAAATTCGGAAACATGGATTCTGCTGTTTCCGCAGACTGATTGATATATCCATAGATTAAAAAACTAATATACAAACGCATCATAATACTAAAAGCGAGAATTATATACTTGCGTTGGTAGATTTGAGTACTTTGGAATAAGTTGAGGGCGTGCGATTGAGATTATCCGTAAGACTGTACACACTGCTATTATGCTTTTTGTTGTTTAGTTCAGCGTGACTGGTTTGTTGTTTGTTTACTTGTGCCGATAGAGAAGACATTTGACTTGGTTGTGAATTGTAATTCAGTCCATATGATGATACATTATTCGTGGCCGTGGCATTGTGGGTGGTCGAAGGACGACTTGGAGAGAACCATGTAGACATTATTTTTATGAAGAAGTAAGTTGCTCTGTTTAAGAGAAAACGATGTCATTATACAAAAAATCACTATATATATATATATTAGCGAAATCTTTAATCCGTATTCCCCGATTCCGCTACAATGCACAGAATTCTATTTACTTCAAGAAGTTCAGTTATGCATAAACGATAGATGCATAACGCAAGGGTAGAGCCTGTTCCGCGGTGTTGGTTATCAGGTTATCTTCCCGTCAGGTAGATAGTAATCCTTTATTGATTTCAAAAAAATCTGGATACCCGAATAACATACTGATATATTAAATATGATGGACAATTATCAGCAAAGTATCAAGTTTATTGTAAGTTACCTGTTAGTGAAGTGAATTGCAGTTTATAATAAAATACAATACAAATTTTTTTGGCTTCAGTAAGAGTGTACTATGCCGGAAACGGGAGGAAATGGTTGCTTATTATTTTGACAGAGTAAACCAGCCAGAATAACTAACGTGCAGTAAGTAACGATCGCAGTCTATAATCATGTGTCTTTATTTAAATTTGTGAACAAGAAAAACTTTAATGCGTCAATGAAAGTCGCAATTATTAATTTGTAGATTACGTCGTGTTATGTTACGTATTCACAAAAGGATCCGTTGTCTTGTGAATGACTGTCATATAAGCTGGTAAATGGCTTTGTGAAAATTATTGTAATATTACTGTGTACATACATGGTCACATTTTCGTTTTCGACAGCATTCGATCCATAAGTCGCGTGAATATCGAGTTGTAATTTGTACAGAAGAGTACACAAGCAAAACTTGCGGATTCTGTGGTTATATTCATAAAAAACTAGGCGGCCAAGGAATTTTGCTGTCCCCAATGTAAAACAAATCTTGATAGGGGTATAAATGGTGCTCTTACGATATCTTACAAAAAAGGAAAATGAGTCAGTTAGGCTGACGCGGGAGCCTATTCCCTTACAGGATTTGTTATTCTAATTAAACTTTGCTTAATGTGAGGTTTTGTTAGTAATAATAGGAGTTAATGTAGGCGTAGTGGAATTTGTGGCAAATAATTAAGAACGACGATATTAAAGCACTTTTTAAGGAGAAAGAATTTATCCGGTTCTCAACTCGATTATTTGGAAATTTTTACCTGTTCTTGCTTACCAAAATAAGCAGTACTTCATTTTCAACGAAATTTTACATTATATATTTAAGATTTTTATTTAGCAAAGGTAAGAGCAAGCATTCACAGATTACAGCAATGGGTAGAGAAACCTAAATGAAGCTTAATATGTAGCGAATCTTACCGTTTCTTTGTTTCACCAAGTACAATTAAATCGCTCTAAAACTGTTGTCGAGTCTTGAACATCCTTCTGCGCCTTCTTTCGAGCAAAGTATATTGGACAGCTACTGTTTGTGCATATGACGTCTTGATGCAGGCTGCCTTGGCATCGTTGACACTGAGTCCAAAGTCTCGCAAAGCGAGTTTCAAGTTTGTTAACGGAATCAAGCTATACAATAGGGATAATATGGTGTAAATGGTTCTTAATAATAGGTAAAAATAAATCACATAATAACATACTTGTTTTCGATATAATTCGCCTGTTTTCGGTTGACAATGACGACAAACTACTGATTCTATTGGAACCAGAAGCGTAAGTAAAGACAACTAGATCAATGTGAGGTTTACGACATGCTCATAATGATCTCTGTATACCATGTTTTGAAAGAGGTGTCCTACATCCTAAACAAGTAGCAGTCTTAACAGCAAATTTCATTAGACCACCGACTGTGGGTGTCGCCACTTGTATAACGCGTGTATGATCTCCCGCCACTATACCGCAATTAGTAATTAGTATGTATCATTTAACTCGCTCTACAATCAGAATGTCACTTACATAGAGACCCAGCTCTGTCCCCTAATATCGGTTCAAAAATGCGTAACAACGGCTTAGAAAGTTGATTTTCCAAATAGTATTTGGTATCGATTGGTATATTATTTTCAAGGACGTATATCGGATCTTCCGATTTCTCGTAAGCAGCGGCGCCTTGTTGAGTAATGATCAAATCAACATATACGTGATTAGGGAAGCAAAACAAACTGTTTAGTAAGCCTACCTTTAGATGCTTTCACTATTACGTACGCCACTCGATCCCCAAGAGTTGGGGCAGAACCTGATAACGAATTTAGTTATGAGTCGCCTTTCTTGAGGATATCTAATATTTCGATTCTGCACATATACAAATACCAGCGTCTCGTTTTCGCATTCGTTCGGCCAATTCTACGTGCGCTTGCTTTCCCGCATAATCTTGCAACGTAAACTATTTGTTAACAAGAGTTCAATCATATTATTGGTGTTTCAAGTCTTTATATACCTGACTTGCTAAGAGCTTTGGTAATCACAAGTTGAGACATATCAATTTTATTTTGCAGAAGATCGGCTATAGTGCGCTTTGCATATCTACAGTGAAAGAGATGTTAAATTACGTAATTTTAGGCGCTCGGAAAATTGTTAGACATACTTACTCCTCTGCTCCTTTTACTTCTCTGTCAATAAGTATTTTTCGAAGACATGTTTCGATCACATTTTGTACTAATAGGCAATTGTCACGTCTTACCGTCTACAGTCATATCGTATGGATAAATACTCTGAAAAAATCATCATTACATTATCAAATTTGAAATAGTACCTACTTCTATACCCTTCGTATCCAACTTATCCCACTTTTCAGGTTTTGTCCAATAAAGGCCAGCATATCTCTTTTTACTGATCAGAAGATATGGATAATATATTTTTTCAAATTCCAAATTTATGGGTTTTATGAATTTCGCAGTCACATAATCTGCTGCCTCTTTCCCTGCATAAAGAGTATATATTAATGGATGTAAAAGTGAACAACCGTTCAGGTCTAAAAAATACCTGATCTACAAATACCTAATCTCATAGTATCCCTCAAATCGTTTACGCCGAATTTAACCATAACAGAATCAGTGTCTCCATAAATCACTTCAATATCGTGCTGATAACCATTAGATTGAGTGAACTGATTTTCTAACTCCTAATACCATAAATTAAGTTAAATGTTGGGTATTAATAGATTTCAGACTAGGAATTTACACATACTTGTTTGGTCTTCTCAATCATCTGGCGTCCGTATGCAGTTACGCTCGATGATATCTCTAAGCAGGGGAGTTTGCCAGCAGTGGCCCCAGTAAATCCGTAAACGGAATTTGCGCTAAGCTTTATCGATTCTGTTAATAACTTTCTTATAGAAACGCAATTGCTCATAATCAGTTATCACGTACCTTCAATGCTAATTGCCTGCCATCAAGCACGGCTTTTTTAAAAGGATCGGTCTCTTTCTTTAAATCAGCTTTTGCTCTTTTGCGTGCAGTGAGTAAGTCTTCCAATATGGTAGGAAGTAATCCTTTACGTAGATGCTTTTTTGCGAACCGCGCTAATGAGAGTATATCAGTTTCATAAACATGCCGACAACGCTTCCGTAGATAACTACTATGTATGTTCCTACCATTATTAGGAGTAACAATATAATCTACATCGGCCCTTAATTTTAAAGCGTCTACATCTTGTGAGCTCAGCAAAGTCGTATAACATATATTGTGGGCGATCATGATGGATGGATACAATGAGCTAAAGTCGAGTGTTGCAATGGGAACATCGTAATACCCTTTTTTGGGCTCAATAACAGTCGCTCCTTCATATGGATCATCAGTTCCTGCATATTAACAATATATAAGCCATATAATTTGATACTAGTAAACACGGTTTGCTTTTGCACCTTCCGGTCTCATAGCAGGAATCACTAAATCTTGTTCGAAGGCTTTCCTAAAAAGTTGAGATAACACTTTTATCTGTTGGCCTCTTGCAAGAAGATAATTAAATGGTACGCCAGTAACGCGGGCCATTTCCATATAATTAATTAGACAAAGAAGTTTATCCAATAGTCGTTGTGGAAGATATGCGTCCTAGTAATGAGTAGTGTCGGGTATAGATTAAAAAACAAACAAACAAACAAAACATGGTTGCTGGCGCGATTAATAAAAAGTAAGCGACCTTTAGACAATAAAGAGCCAGTCGGCGTCGTGTCTCACTATTGGCATTTTGTAAATCCGTAATAATTGAATGATGGACCTCTTCCTTTTGTTCCCCTGCGATAATAACGATAAATAAACATACATGGTGTCTACTACAAGCTAGTTGTTGATACTTACCCAAGAAATGTGCGCAAACCGAATTCAATGTATAAGATCTGAGTTTATAATCCCTCTGCATTACTTGAAGTAGATCAAGCTGCAACCTTCCCTCAAGGTGTAAGAATTGTTAAGGAATGAAGCATAGTGTCAGAAGTCTCCGGCCCCCGCCGTAAGTACCAAAGGATATTTGTATGTTTATTCTCTCGTGTACCATAAGCCTTTGACGAAAATGTTGTCTCTTTTGCTTCGCTCTTCGAGTCTACAGTATCGTTAAATATATTTTAACCAATTATTTTTAAGATCACTCGAACATAGTAATACCTACGTATAATGCGACCAAGGAACGGAAATTCTTTAGCATTAAGATGCGCGGCCCGATCCAGCAGGTAAGGTAAGTCAAAATTAGAAATATTGTATCCAATAACAACATCCGGATCGACCTAATAAACCGATAAAAGTTACAATACAACCGTGTATATTATGCTAATTTAAGCCCAAAGTTGAGCTACTCACCTCAGAGACGAAGTCGCGCCACGCGTGTAACATTTTGATCTGGTCATCAAATTCGATAATATCGGTTGCAACAATTGAAGCACACGTGTTAAGCGTGAAAACGTTACGGATAAAAGGTTTGCTTTCCCCTTGAAATAAAAATAATTTCATTACTGTTGTTATACTTAGAAACACCATCAACGTCTTCTAACATTATACCTTGGATAGTTACAATATTAGCAATCTGAATTACCGGATCCACTTTTGGTTCGGGAAAAATACCCTTCCGTCCAGCGCATTCGATATCGAAGCTCAGAATTCTTAACGGAGCGATTTTCAACCATTCGGCCTCAGGCGTATAACTCACGAATTGATCATACCTGTATCGCTAGAGAATATGAGCGACAATGACAAAAAACAAGGTATACAAAAAGAAGCGAAAAGATTACCTTGTTTCAACTTCAATCTGACAGGTTGAAATTTTGGCAGACGATTCACGTATTTTGTACGTCCCAGGTGGCAATTCTAGCCAATTTGCTCCGGTAACCTGCAATAAAAGCTCAGATCCAGTCCCAAACCATTTAACATCGTTACCGGGACGTTAGCCTTACCTTACAGTCGATCATAAAACGCAGAACATACGAAATGTTGCTTTCGAATGTAATTTCACGCAAGCCGTTGAACTGAACAGAGCCTAATTCAATGTTACGTAAGATAGGTCAAGGCTATATGGACTAGAGTATATTCAACATAGCGCAAACGACTACTCAAGCAAAGGATATTCCTCACTTTCGACATAATTCGCGATTCTCCAAAGATAAGTTTCAAAAAAGGACTTTTTTGGTTTCCATGATAGCCCCAAATACTTTCTTTCATATGTATCTCGATCGTAATGGGCAGTTTGTTTCCAAACCCTATTGCATTCTTAAATACAGTCTAAATTAGAATTCTGCCACTAATAGCATTTCATCAGAGTACTTATGGGCACTTACTTCTATAGCTTTTATCAATGACGGTACGTCATTTTCCTTAAAGCCCGCAGGAGCCGGAATGTAGAAATAGGGCAAGAAGCCAGTGACATGGCATAGAACACTGTTGCCACGCTGAGACTAGACGTGTCAGTAAGTCAAAGCGAATTAATAATTACGCTTCTTATTTACACACCTCGTTTAAGCCATATAGACGAATGGTCGGCCTTCTAAGCGAATCGATATAGTCGTCAACCTCAAGCTGTTGGAAGACTAGAGTATGACCGTCAGACTTGTAGAAAAACGACAACAATATGTGTGCGCTGATACGTATACTTACTAATCGGATCTCGTTTAGTGTCGATCACAGGTACTTGAGGTCGTGCCCATGTCTGACGATGCTTCCCTCCTACATAACGGAATCGGCTAGTAACGCAGTAAAATAATGGTTAAACAAATGAATCGTAACATACCAGTCGACGACACCTGTTCTTGCTCGTCAAGTTGTTCTAAATCCCTTTCAAACGTGGATTTTGCGTTAAGCCTGGTCGCGGTCATCGTGTTCGTCGGGTTGATAAATGTCGCGTTTTTATGAAATGTCCGTTAACGGAAGTGATCGGTATTTCACGTGAATTCAGGAATGTGCATCGAATATCTAGATGCCCGATACCCAATACTCGATAACAATACCCGACATCAGTATGCTCGGTGAATGTGATCTGTTTCCCCCTTATTGGGATGGGCATGTCTCCTTGCTTCTAATCATGTGATCGATCAGTGTGTAATGATTCATGACGATGTCACACAGTTCTTTGCCTTTCATCCTTAACAGTTTCGTTCCTCTTCGCAAAAGCAACAGCTTTTTACGTTTTTTGGATAAATTTCTTATTGTTCACAAAGCTTGGTGCGTGGTTAAACTTTACCTAGCCAAGCAATCCGCCAGAAAGAGGATCTACTCTTTTGGTCTGAGGGGTTCCAAACGTTGTCTGGATTCTTAAAATTACCATGGGAAACACGCTTGTGAAAGATAAGGTCGAAGATAACGTTGATGGCGGACAACTCGTACCTCATGGTGTCTACAAGACGCCACAGGACTGGAACGAAAAGATTGTGCGAAAACTTATCATAGACCGGAAATTAGCGCCCTTTTACAAAGGACTTTCTGACTATGACGAGACGACCGAGGTTACTCTAACTACACATAATCATCCAAAAAATGGAGAGCTTAAGAAGGCAACTATGGGCAGTGGTGATCACAACGCACACGCAGCTAAGGATATTAAGCGACAATCCACTTTAAACGCAACTGGTCTATCAAAAGGCAAAGAGCCATTACCCAGCAAGTCAATCGAGACACAGTACAAAGGTGCTGTTGAATGTCCTATATGTTTTTTGGTGAGTCTCAATAAGAACATTATCTAACATGTGTACAGATCAGCGGCATGATACGACTTCCAACAAGAAAGCACAATAGAGAACTGCGGACTACCCTAGTCGTCCTTTTGGAGATCATTTAGTTATGAGACGATGAGAAATGTTTGAACTATTATATTCAACAAACAGCAAGTTTCGAACGCCGCTGCCTATAATGAATAAGACCTTGGCCAGATCTTTTGATCCTGTATTTATTAATGTTTCTTCTTTTGACATTTAATTTCTGCCAATGCTGTAGTATTATCCTCGGAATATTAATTATTCTCGCTGTTGCCTTAAACCGATTTGCACTGAATGCTTTGTACAAATCAAACGGCCAGAAAGTGGCAACCTAGGAGCTAATAACTCTCCTGCTATGTGTCCTTTTTGTGTGGAACCGAATTTTGGTGTTTCGTACAAACCACCTCCGTTTAGCTCTGGGATCATTAACGAAAACTCGGTAGGTTGTTTGTGCTGGAAAGTAGATCCTTAAGAGAACTACCAGGGTTCTTTCCGTATTTTGCACTTTCTGGTTACTTGTTCATATGCTAAAGTCCTGTATATACATGAAGATGATTTATATCACTAAAATTCTGACAACTTGTTTAATGTTATTGTCTCTACTATATATTCGTCTGTTATTTATGTAAATAATCGGTTCAATTCCTGTCTCAGAATACCAGCAATCCTTTTGTTCTGCACTCTTCCTCGACTTCATCTCTCAACCAACAAGACGGTAAATCCCGAAGAAAGAGCATCAGCTACAAAAGTTCAGAGGTCGTAACAACTGGTGTGTTGATATCCTGGAAAATTTGACCTTTTTTTTGCGTATCATTTACTGGCTGTGGAGACGTTGCTGCTACTCGTGATATCTCCTCAATATCATTTGTATTTTTTGGAGCCTATTGCTCAGACTCTTAAGGCTATCTTAAGTTTTGTCATTCTCTGCAGCCAATATTTAAAGCTTTTATTATTGTACATTACATATGCTGTATTTTTGTTACTAACATTTTTCGGAACTGTAATTTTGCTTGGCTATATTTTAACTGCTTCTTTCCTTCACATAATATCTATTTGGCATGTCTTCTCGACCGTCTAGATCAAATCCGACCAGATTGGAATAATCGCGCTCAAGCCCAGCGACCAAATGGCCGACGACCATCGGCTTCCTCTTCAATTATGGGAAATTCAAGGCGTATCTCGTTAAGGCCTCCGGGTAGTGGCTCATACGCAACATCCCCCTCTCCATCATCTAGACGTAATAATCTACCGACCGGAAGCGAATATCCAGGGTACTTGCGAAATGTAGGAGCAGATTTAGAAGAGTTAATGGTCATGGAAGCTATACGGTTGAGCTTGTTAGAGCAAGAAGAACGAGAAAGGAGAGAGCGTGATGAGAGAGAGCATGGAGAACCTTCGCCAGAGAGTAGTGGGGAATCGACCTCAATTTCTGAAGATTCTCAGCCAACGACAGAAGATAGGGCAGTTGCGGAGTTTGACGATAATAATACCGACAGTGAACTGGAAGCGAATGTTACTACAACAGTAATGAGAATAGATGGAGAGCAGATTGAAGCTTTGTCGACAACTGACACCCAAACAATCTCCAATGAATCCGATGAGAATAAACCAATTGAGGTTCATCATTCTAGTGCCGACCCGTTATGTATAGATCGCGTAAACGACAATGACGAAGACAGAATAATAATAAAAAACACATCAGTCGCATCCTCATCATCAGCAACAGGATCAGATTCATTATTGCCATTTTCCACAACGGGCTCTAATAATACCATTATTGCACCTTCTTGCACTGCCGAAAATATAGCGGATGCAACTTTCCGTACTGCCGAAGGCGATGATGATAATGCACTGCCTTCGTTTGAGTCTCCAGGAGACGACGTAACACCACCTCTCGAAGGCAAACAAAGCGAGGGTGAAGACTCTACCATGATGTGTATATAATGGAACCCCCTTTATAATGCCCATGATGGTTCAGGTGTTACAACGATAGATACTGAAATACAGGATAATTGACTTGGAAACCCGTCGGAGACTGCTTAGTTTGAAGTTCATCGGGTAAATAATCGTTTATGACGGCTAGGCCTTCTTTATTGTAACATCTTGTAATTATTTGTTTTCAAAGCTTGCTGCGTTTAAGTCTGTAAATGCTAGTGTTAAGTTTCACTTGCAGGGTAGAAGCCGGTAGTATCCCTGTCTTTACATCACATTCATTTGACATTTGATCAAGGAATTTTCCTTGGAATTCTTTGTGTTAATAGTATTGCGAGTTTCTTTCTTGATTTTTGATATAAATACTGTCACTTCTTTATTGGCGATAATATTATACACAATCAATGTGTGAACTGACTATTACTATTGTTACTAGCTGTTTGTCATGAAAAATTTCTAGGTCGGTGGCCTTCACGTGACGGTGTGCTCACTGATGTGATACAACTGGATCTTAAAGAGTTCTCTCTGAGCGATTTACGCCACCGATTTTTAATGAACAGTCGAACTTCGACCAGCGGCTACCAAACTTTAAAAATCGCAGGCTTAATTTTGTTCGAGGTTCTTTGATCACTAATCCTTTCATATCATGTATTGGGAGAGCGTGTGCCGCTTGTAAATATTCTTCATCCGGGAGCGTACTGTCGCTTGAGCCTCGTCCATACTAGTAAA